CACTGGGACACTGGGACAGAGGAGGGGTTTCTGGTATGTTTTTTCTCATATTCTCTGCTGTTTCAAATGTTGGCCACTCGTGTATATTCCTTTGCATTTTTTTTTATTTATTTTTTTATTTTTTTTATTTTTTTCTGACAGGCAGAGTGGACAGTGAGAGAGAGACAGAGAGAAAGGTCTTCCTTTGCCGTTGGTTCACCCTCCAATGGCCGCCGCGGCCGGCGCGCTGCGGCCAGCGCACCGCACCGATCCGATGGCAGGAGCCAGGAGCCAGGTGCTTTTCCTGGTCTCCCATGGGGTGCAGGGCCCAAGCACCTGGGCCATCCTCCACTGCACTCCCGGGCCACAGCAGAGGGCTGGCCTGGAAGAGGGGCAACCGGGACAGAATCCGGAGCCCCGACCGGGACTAGAACCCGGTGTGCCAGCGCCGCTAGGCGGAGGATTAGCCTAGTGAGCCGCAGCGCCGGCCCCCTTTGCATTTTTTAAAATTTATTTTTTTTGACAGGCAGAGTGGACAGTGAGAGAGAGAGAGAGAAAGGTCTTCCTTTTGCCGTTGGTTCACCCTCCAATGGCTGCTGCAGCCGGCACGCTGCGGCCGGCACACCGCGCTGATCCGAAGCCAGGAGCTAGGTGCTTCTCCTGGTCTCCCATGGGGTGCAGGGCCCAAGCACTTGGGCCACCCTCCACTGCACTCCTGGGCCATAGCAGGGAGCTGGCCTGGAAGAGGGACAACCGGGACAGAATCCGGCGCCCCGACCGGGACTAGAACCTGGTGTGCTGGTGCCGCAGGCAGAGGATTAGCCTATTGAGCCACGGCGCTGGCCTCCTTTGCATTTGACAAAAAGCAGCAGAAACCAAGTGGGAGGTGAACACCGGGGGCCTGGAGCCCCTGCAGACCCTCCATCTCTGGTCGCCTGTCCCAGAGGCCCCGGAATGTCACCTACTCATCCTGCTTTCCCTGCAGGAGCCTTTGCCCAGCCCACTGTGGTCACCGAGGAAAGAGAAGGCCATGGTCCTGGCCCTGTGCTTCCTGCTGGGGGTGTGGGACAAGTGACAGCACAGTCAGGCCCCCAGACTGACTAGCAGAGGATCTGGTAGGGCCCGGGGGGCGGGAGGGAGGGACAAGGCGGGGCTTGCAGGTAGAGGAGGTTTCAGGTGGAAGCTCCAGGCCTGTGTCCCCAGTGCACCCCCAGGACACTTCCTGGCCACATCAAGGACTCTCAGTATTGGAGACCTGGAAATCTCCAAGCCTCTTCTCTTTTCATCTCTCACCTGAGAGCTGGGAGCAGAGTGCGAAGCCAGGCGGGCGGGGAGTGGGGTGGGATCGGCAGGTGGAAGTTAAACGTGAATGTGGATCATGGTGAAGGTGTGGGCCGGGCCTTCCCCTGGCACCTAGTGACCCTTACTCTGCTGTGGTCCCCAGCAGGGCTGTGGGGGAGGCAGGCTTGTGGCCTCGGGGTCTGGGAGGGCTATAGCTTGTGGGGGGGGGAGTTTGGTGACCCACAGATACTGCAAGGGGTGCTGTGGACAGAGCCCTTCCACTCGTCCGAAGGCTGCAGAGGCGGGTGCTGGGGAGGGTTGTCTGGGCACAGTGCGGCAGAAGAGGGAGGATGAGGGGCAGAAATGAGGGGGTCAGTGGGCGGGCACTGACATTGGCAAGAGATGGCAAGAGTTCAAGGTTTGGCACTAGAGAGCTCTTGGCTCCTGTCTGTGTGACTGGGTGAGCTGCTTACCTTCTGAGTTTCTGTAGATCATGAGAACAATACAACCAACCACACGGGCTTCTGGTGAAGATTAAATGGGATAAAGTGTCTGATCTTCTAGCACAGTGCCAGGCACACAGGACGTCAGCACTTTGTAGAGGTTGACTATTTGCTCTGGCCCTTAGAACCTCCTGGCCTGAGCCATGTCGCTTCATGTTCCGTTCTGGGCACGTTTAGTGCGGGATTCTCGGTTGTCAGCTATAGGAGTCATTTCAGGAGCTTTTAAGCAGAAAGGGGGTTTCTTGGAAAGATACCAGGGAAGCTGACAGACGGTCTGGGAAGGCTGGAGGCCCAGGCTTGTAGAACAAGCGAGCACCAGCCTGAAAACAGACCTCAGGACCTGTGGCTGCCTCTGAATCGCTCTTTCCTTTTCTGTCCTGGCAGTTGGATGTGGCACCACAGCACTCACAGTCTCCACCTGACCTGTCCACAGCCTGGGTGGGGACATCCGACTGGTGTAGAGTGTGCGCAGTTGCATCACGTACTGGGGAAGACAGTTGGAATCAGGCAGCCGGCGGTTTTGACTTTTAAGTAGGAGGTACCTTTGCCTCCCTCAAGACTCGTGGGGAGGGGGAAAGTTCCAGACACTGGGCAGGTAAAAAACTCGACAAATGTCTACATAAGAGGCCGGCGCCGCGGCTCACTAGGCTAATCCTCCGCCTAGCGGCGCCGGCACACCGGGTTCTAGTCCCGGTCGGGGCGCCGGATTCTGTCCCGGTTGCCCCTCTTCCAGGCCAGCCCTCTGCTGTGGCCCGGGAGTACAGTGGAGGATGGCCCAGGTGCTTGGGCCCTGCACCCCATGGGAGACCAGGAAAAGCACCTGGCTCCTGGCTCCTGCCATCGGATCAGCGCGGTGCGCCGGCCACAGCGCGCTGGCCGCGGCGGCCATTGGAGGGTGAACCAACGGCAAAGGAAGACCTTTCTCTCTGTCTCTCTCTCTCACTGTCCACTCTGCCTGTCAAAAAAAAAAAAAAAAATGTCTACATAAGAAACATAAATGAGTAGACAGTAGTCCCTGTTCCCTAGACGTTCACATGTAAGGATCAGTTCTGTGGGAAGGTAATCGTGATAGGAAGTGGCTGGAGCAAGAGTTGAGGTGCATCCCAGCCCTGGGGTGCGGGCAGAGTCACCGCGCCACAGGGCCCTTGTCCATGGCCGCTAGCCTCAGTTGCCCCTGAGTGTTCCAGGCCACCTGGGGGGCATGACTGGGGTGGATCTGGATGGCTGATTGGGGCTGGGTCACCGTGAGCCAGATTTGGCCACACTGGGCAGAAATTACGTCACACTGGGCCTGACTCAGACACACGAGAACTTGGGCGAGGCCCCGGGGGGGATACACCTTCTCACACAGGAACGATGAAGCTGCTTCCTGGCCAACGAGGACTCCCTTCTCCTATACAGTCCCGCCTCCCACCTATTTTGCTGTGTCTTTGACTTGGCTTTGCCTTCTTGGTGCCTCGATTTTCTAACTGGATTAGAGGACAGAATCTCCTGGGATCTGGGGCAGGCATTTGGCCCAGTGATTAAGAGACTGCTCTAGATGCCTGAGTTTCAATCAGTGTCTCGGTTTCAGTCCAGGCTCTGTTCCTCTTCTTTTCTTTTCTTTAAATATTTATTTTATTTATTTGAATGACATAGTTACAGAGAGAGGTAGGGAGAAAGAGAGAGACAGAGACAGAGACAGAGAGAGACATAGAGAGATAGAGAGAGAGAGATCTTCCATCCACTGGTTTGCTTCCCAAATGGCCACAATGGCTGGAGCTGAGCTGATCTGAAGTCAGGAGCCAGGAACTTCTTCCAGGTCTCCCACTTGGGTGCAGGGGCCCAAGGACTTGGGCCACCTTCCACTGCTTTCCCACACGCATTAGCAGGGTGCTAGATTGGAAGTAGAGAAGCCAGGACTCCAACCAGTGTCCATATGGGATGCCGGTGCTGCAGTCCAGGACTTTAACCACCCCCCTCCCCCGCACCACAGCGCTGCCTCCAGGCTCTGTTTTTGATTCAGGTTCTTGCTAATGTGCACCCTGGGAGGAAGCCAGTGACAGCTCAAGTACTCGAGGGCCTGCCCCCCACCCATGTGGGAGACCCAGATTGAGTTCTTGGCTCCTGGCTTCATCCTGGCCAAGCCCTGGATGTCATGGCCATTTGGGGAGTGAACCAGCAGATAGAAGACTCTGTCTCTCTCTGCCTTTCAAATAAAAATGAAAATAAATAAATAACAATTAGAATTTCCCAAGATTAGGAGCTATGATGGGACAAGGTGGAGGACAGTGTTGGTTGTATCCTGGGCTTCTGCTTTATGGGTTCAGACCCTGCTCTGTTCTCTCTCCTCCCATATCCTATGTTGTCTGTTCTTGTCTGCACTGTTTGTGTGTCTGCCTGTCACCATTAATGTCTTCCGTGTCACCATTGCCTGTTTCTGTCTCAGCTCTGACCCCATTCCCAGAACTCCTACCTTCCAGGGTCAGCCTCTGAACCCTTTGTGCCCTGTGCCTCTCCGGCTCAGCCTGTGGGTTCTCTGAGAGGGGAGGTAGCACCCCTTGGGGCTACACACACAATTCCCCTCTCTCTCCCACACACATACACACACACACACACACACACACGGATCCCCAAGTCCCTGCGATCTGAAATCCAGCAAGCTGTCTGTGGAGTCACCCAGGCAGGTGGAGGCGGGGCGGGGAGCTCCCCCTGGCCTCGCAGGGCCCCCAGGCCGGCCCCCTCTTCCTATTTGAGGTGGCTTCACATGCAGCGTTTTCCTGGCATCTCTCACAGCCACCGAGGCCCCAGCCACCGGTGGCTGCCGCCCACCTGCCGCCCGCCTGCCCCCCATTGCCTTCCGCAGCCCGCTGGAGCCCTGCAGAGCAGGTGAAGCACCTCTTCTGGGAATCCCAGCGTTAGTTTAGAAGCCTGAGGCCGGGCTGGGAGGCTTGAGGAAGGAGGGAAAGGAGGAGGGCTTTGGAGTGCAGAGACGCTGGAGCAAGGCTGGGGGCCCAGGGGGCACTGGGGGTTACGGAGGGAAGGGGCGGGGGTGCTCACACACTCACAGGGCTGAGAGGACCCCTGTGCTGCGTGGGCTCTGACGAAAGACAGCAGAGAAGCCGGTGCCCAGTGAGCTGAGTCAGGGCAGTGGGGACGCTTGGGGGCCCTTGGCTCACTCGGGCTTTGTCCCTGGTGTGGGACCTGAGCCTGGGGCAGTCTGGTGGCTGAGGCCGGGACCCTTCTTAGCATGGCAGCATGGGGGCGGTGGCGGGTGACATCTCAATTCTCTATGGCCCTGAGGAGTCTGGAATGTTCTCCCAGGTCTTCCTCACTTCTCTTGGGCCAGCTCTGCTCCTCACCTCTGACTGGTTAATCTCCATTAACCCTCTTTCCTCTTCTCCCAGGAGAGCATCATTGGCCCCAAGAAAGTCCTTACACATCAACCGGTCCAACCCTCCCATTTTGCATACAGGGGAACTGAGGCAGGAGGGGCCGTGAGCAGCTCAAAGTCACAGCGTGGATTTGTGGGAGAGCCAGTCCTGGGCACAAGGTTCCTCCCTGGAGGACCGTCACAGCTCACCTGTGCGCCACCTGTCTTCCCAGCAGGTAGCAGGGCCGCGAGGAGAGAACCAGCTGCACAACTGAGTTTTTGACACAAGACCAAGGCCCTGGGGGACCCAGGGGAGTCCCTGTACCCCCCGCCTGAACTTGCAGGTCTGCCAAGGCGACCGGGTAGGCGGACCTCAGCCTTCTCTTTGCAGGTGGCCTGCTGGTGGTAGGAGGAGTGGGGAATGAATGAAGGGTCCTACGAGTGTGGCGGGAGGAGGAAAGGAGATTGGGGCTGGATGCAGCTCTGGGGGATAGGAGATGATAAAGCCCTTGGGCAGGAAAACCAACCGTGGGACAAGGGGCTGGGAAGCCATTTGAGTGACAGGTGTGGGGGTGCCTGAGCTGCTTCTCCCCTTGGGAAACCAAACAAGGGATGAGTCTTGGCCATGGGCCATGGCCATGAGTCTGTTGGGCAAGCCCCAAGCTCTTTGCCTCCTTGCTCTCCAGATCTTCTCAGCCTGCAGGTCACTTCCAGACACAATGGATGCTCATGGCCTGCCCTGTGCCAGCTGGCTGTGCCCCTTGCTGCTGGCACCGGCCAGGTCCACCCTGCTGGCCTGCCCCCAGGGCCTGGACCTGTATGTGTGTACCCTGCAGTTGGCTTCCTGGGACACATCTCTGCAGGGGCTCAGAGAGGACACGTTGAGCACAAGTAAGCCTAGGGCTCCGAGCTGCTCTGCCCTGGGTGGAGGCTGGAGGTGGGGCCCCCTGTTATGCTTCGGGATGGGAGGGGGGCACAAAGAGGCATGGGTGACCCAGCCTCAGGTTCTGGTCACTGTCACGTTTTGGCCTGGGTTCAGGCCTGAGGGTGCAGGGAGATTTCAGGATGGTGAGATTGAGCAGAGCAAGTGGGCCGTAGTGTCGGAGCCGGTGTAGGCACAGCCAAAGCCGCGAGGTTGGCAATGGCCCTTGACCTGCCTGGAATGCTTGAGCTGGAGGGGTTGTCGTTTTTACGACACTGGACTGGGAATCGGGGAACTGGACCCGGAGGCCTGGTTCTGCTCTTTCTAGTTTTGTGGCTGTGGGCACATCACCGTGGCCTTGTTTTCATTTACCATAAAGAAGGCTGTCACTGGGCCTGTGTTCTCAGCTTGCTGTGTCAGAACACAACATTTGCTCACGTGACCATGGCCTCTTGGCTGCCCTGCAGGGTCCATCATTTCTGGGACCCAATGCAGACTGCAACAGCTCAGTGACACTGAGTGGCTGAATAAGCGAGGATCCAAGCAATCTACCTAGCTTTGAATACGTTTTGGTTTTTAAATTTTTTCTTTACTTAAGAAAAATATTATTGGGGCCGGTGCTGTGGCATAGTGGGTAAAGCTGCCACCTGCAGTTCCAGCAACCCATTTGGGCGCCGGTTCAATTCCCAGCTGCTGCACTTCTGATCCCACTCTCTGCTATGGCCTGGGAAACAGTAGAAGATGGCCCAAGTCCTTGGGCCCCTGCACCCACATGGGAGGCCCAGAGAAAGCTCCTGGCTCCTGGCTTCGGACTGTGGCAGCTCCAACCGTTACAGCCATCTGGGGAGTGAACCAGTGGATGGGATGGAAGACCTCTTCCTGTCTCTCTCCCTTTCCCTCTCTCTCTCTCTCTCCCTTTCCCTCTCTCTCTCTCCCCCTCTGCCTCTCTGTAACTCTGCCTTTCAAATAAACTTTAAAAAATATTTTTACAAAATATTTATTTTTATTTTTTTTGAAAGGCAGAGAAACCAAGGCAGAGACACATTGAGATATTCATAGTTTACTCCCGAAATGCTCGCAACAGCAAGAGGTGGGCCAGACCAAAACTAGGAGCCAGGAACTCAACTGGGTCTCCCCTGTAGGTTGCAGGGACCCAAGTACTCGAGCCATCACCTGCTGCTGCCTCCCAGAGTGTGGATCACCAGGGAGCTGGGTCCGAAGTGGAGGAGCTGGAGCTCGAACCGGATGCTCCGACACGGAGGCAGGCGTCCCAGGCAGCGTCTTAGCCATTGCAAAATGCCCGCCCAAGGGTGTTGCTTTTATCACTCCTCGCTTTGCTCCTGCCTTGCCGGCTGTTATATCTCAGTTCCCTCGCTTCCTTCTACTCACCGCTCAGAGACCATCAGAACTCAGACCCCCTCCTCCTCCCCCGCCCCATTATCACCACTCCTTTCTGCACCTCTTCTCCTTTCCCCTTCCTCCTCCTCCCCCCCTCTTCTTTCTTCTCTTTATCTAGAAGAGCGCTGTTTGGTAGAACTTCCTGCAACAGTGGGAATATTCTATACCTGTGCTGCCTGGAAACCTATTGATCTCTTCGGGTTTTTTCCCCTAATTTCGATTCGGTTATGTTCATTTTATTTGGAAGACAGAAAGAGACAGACATCTGCTCGCTCATTGTCCAAATGTCTGCAACAGCTGGGGCTGGCCCAGGTGGGAGCCAGGCACTTAATTTGGGTCTTCCAGGTACTTGCTACCTGCCAGGGTGGGTGTTCGCAGGAAGCTGGAATCAGAAGCAGAACCAGGACTTGAACCCAGGCACTTGACCCTGTTAAACACTTTAAAAGTGGCTAGTGGGGCTGGGATTTGGCACAGTGGTTAAGATGCCTCTTGGGGTACTCACTCTCTGAGTGCCTACTTCAAGCAACTGTTCCACATCTGATCTAGCTTCTTGACAATGCACACCCAGTTCAAGTACCTGGGATCCTGCCACTCACGTGGGAGACCCGGATTGAGTTCCTGGCTCCTGGTTTCAGTCTGGCTGTTGTGAGCATTTGGGGAATGAACGAGTGGATGGAAGATCTCTGTCTCTCTGCCTTTAGAATATAAACAAACAAACAAACAAATATTACACGTGGCTAATGAGATTGAGCAACTGAATTTTTAAAATACTTTTATTTATTTGTTTGAGAGGTAGAGTTACAGACGGGAAGAGGGAGAGACAGAAAGGTCTTCCAAACACTGGTTTACTCCCCACATGGCTGCAACAGCCAGAGCTGGGCCGATCTGAAGCCAGGAGCCAGAAGCTTCTTCCAGGTCTCCTACTTGTGTGCTGGAGCTGAAGCCCTTGGGCCATCTTCCACTGCTTTCCCAGGCCATAGCAGAGAGCTGGATCAGAAGAGGAGCAGCCAGGACACAAACCAGCACCCATGTGGGATGCTGGCGCCGCAGGCAGAGGCTTAGCCTGCTAGGCCACAGCACCAGGGAGAGCTGGGGACAGACTTCACCCTGGGCTGTGGGAGCCTGACCTTCTCCCCTTCCCTGCTCAGAGCACCAGCCATGGAGGCTCCATGCCAGCTCCCCTGATGATGAGAAACTCACAGCCAAGCACCCACCAAGCAGCCACCAGATGGGAAGCCGTCCGGGAAAAGCTGGCCTGGGGGCCCCCTGCCCATCCCTCCCTCCTCGCTACAGCTCGTCTCCAGCCCCCCGGCAGGAGAGAAAGAGCTCTAGCCCCACTCCTGCCCCCATGTCCAAGGAGCTCCCATTCCGCCTCCATCCCTTCTACCCTGGGCACCCACTGCTCCTGCCTCCACCTTGCCTGCTCCCCTGTAGGGCCCAGCCTTCCACCCAGTGCCCCTACCTCTTCTTGTGGCCTCAAGTCACCTCCTGCATCCCCACAGTAGTGCCCAGCTCGCTCGTGACGGCCGAAGAGCCCGGATGCCACAACGCCCAGGGGAGAGCCCTGTCTTCTTGCCCAGGGACTTTTCAAGCCTCTGGCCATGCTTTACCCTCCCAGTCCCTAAATCCAGGCCCCACATCATCCACCCCGACCTGCTGCCCAGGGCTGGAGCATGCTGGCATGGCGGCGCCAGCTACCCAGGCCTCACTGGGCTCCCGGGCAGGCGCCGCAGCCCTGCCTTACCCGCTGAAGAAAGAGAATGGCAAGATCCTGTATGAGTGCAACGTGTGCAGCAAGAGCTTTGGGCAGCTCTCCAACCTCAAGGTACCTGCTTCCCTGGGCTCTGGGGCTCCCTGCAGCAGCCTCCCGGGCACCTCCCCCACCCCGACCCTGTTTCTAGAATCAAGGATCTTTGCCCCAGAAGGCACTCTCGGGAAGCCTCTGGGGCCAAGTGACCTTGGACGGTTCTTTGGGTGGCAAGACAGGATAAGAGGGCTACCAAAGTCCTCTCCACCCTGCAGGTCTGCCTATCAGATCATCTCGTATCTTTATTTATTTCAAGGATTTATTTATTTATCTGAAAAGCAGAGTGACACAGAGAGGGACAACTATCTTCTATTCATTGGCTCATTCCTCAGATGGCTACAGCTGAGGCTGGGCCAGACTGATGCCAGGAGCTAAGAACTCCATCTGAGTCTCCCACATGGGTGGCAGGGACCCAAGTTTTTGAGCCATTATCTGCTGCCTTCCAGTGCATTAGCAGGGAGCTGGGCTGGAAGTGAAGTAGCTGAGACTTGAACCATCCCAAGTGGTGGCTTGACCTGCTGTGCCACAGTGCTTGCTCCCAGATCTGGGTCGTCACATCTGAACTAACAGTGGGAAAACCGAGGCTCCCGAAGGCAGGATTTTCCCAGTTCATGTTGATGCAATGGTGAGCAGTCTGGCTCTGATTTTAGTCTCTCAGCCTCTGGTGCAAAGCACTTGCCTGGGCAACCATCCTTTTCTACAAATTAAGCCTTTATTGTTCTGAGGGGCAGATGGAGGAATGGGTAGATTTGGGTGAGTCTAGACCACAGGCCAACTATCAACCTTTCTCAAGTGGGACCCCACTAATCAGCTCCAGCGCTGTTGATGTCATCATCCCCATTGTCCAGCAGGGGCCGCCCAAGGGCTCATCTCTGTGTTAGCAAAACCTGGAAGCTATGTAAGTTGTTGGGGATTTGCTCTACTGGATCCTTTAAGGCAGGTGTTCTTTTTAAAAAAACATTTATTTCTGTATTTGGAAGGCAGAGCAACAGAGAGAGAGGCCCATTGGTTCACTTCCCAAATTCCTACAACAGCTAGGGCTGGGCCAGGCCAAAGCCAGCAGCCAAGACCTCCATCTGGGTCTTCCACATGGGTAAAAGGAACCCAAGCACCAGGGCCATACCTGCTGCCTCCCAGGAGCATGGGCAAGAAACTGGCTCAGAAGCAGAAGTGGGACTCAAACCAGCACTCTGGTATGGGATGCTGGCATCCCGAGAGTCAGCTTAAGTCACTGCACAACACCACCCCGGGCAGCGTTCTTACTCTGGTGAGCCTCAACCCACCTGCTGAGCTAGTGCGAGCGAGTGACCAGGCAGACCCCGAGGACCCAGCCCCAGAGACCGATTCAGCAGGTCAGGAGTGGGGCCTGACGAGCTTCATTTTCAGTGTCCCAAAGCGAGCCCACGTTGCTAGTCATGGGCCATGCGGAGCAGCACTGCTCCAGGATCTACCCGGAGTTCCCCTTACCTGGCCAGCTCCCCTGCAGGGCAGCAGAAAGAGTGGGAGCACCCAGGGGGTGCTAGTGAAGAGGACTGAGAGGCCAGGGTGCCAACAAGGGGTCCTGCCGGGATGGGGGCAGAGACTCTGAGCGGGTGGCAGGCCCTGTGGGGCTCTGTGCAGCTGGCAGCATTTCTCCCACACCTGGCTCAGGTTCATCTGCGAGTGCACAGCGGGGAGCGTCCGTTCCGGTGCACCCTGTGCCAGAAGAGCTTCACCCAGCTTGCTCACCTGCAGAAACACCACCTGGTGCACACTGGGGAGCGGCCGCACCAGTGTCCGGTGAGACCCTCCTCGCCCTCACGTGCAATCTGGTAGCCCCCTGGACAGACACACCTGCAGCCTCCATTCCCCAGTCCCACTAAGCAAGGGGAGACAGGAGGGCAGGGGCTGGGTAGCAGAAGAGAGGGAGAGGAAGTGACTCTCAGCTTGGAATGAGTGCCGGGAGAACAATGCAGTGGAATTGCAGGGGTGGGGTGTCCCTGGAGAATGCATACCCACTACTTACCTCCCAGAGTTGGAGGAGTCAACGCCCCACTGTGTGCAAAGTACTCAAGCAGGAAAACCTTAAGGTCAATGCCAGCTCCCAGCTTTTTTTTTTTTTTTTAAGATTTATTTATTTATTTGGAAGGTAGAGTTACAGAGAGGAAGAGGCAGAAAGAGAAAGAGAAAGGTCTTCCATCCGCTGGTTCACTCCCCAAATGGCCGCAACAGCCGGAGCTGGGTCGATCCGAAGCCAGGAGCCAGGAGCTTCTTCTGGGTCTCCCACATGGGTGCAGGGGCCCAAGCACTTGGGCCATCTTCTACTGCTTTCCCAGGCCATAGCAGAGAGCTGTGTTAACAATAACAGGAAAACTCAGAGAGGAGAAGTCATTCAGGGAGTTAAAAAAAAAAAAAGGCACTAACCTGGGTCTGCTGGCTCCGGTGTACTGGACACCGTGGGTCCCAGGGAGAAAGCATCGGGCAAAGCTTCCCAGCACCGACAAGGAGGTGGGGAGGGATCCTGAGCCAGCCCAGCGCAGGACTGACCGCACCGCCCCTTCCGTCAGGTGTGCCCCAAGCGCTTCAGCAGCTCCAGCAACCTCAAGACGCACCTGCGCCTGCACTCGGGGGCCCAGCCCTCCCAGCGCCTGTGTCGCTGCAGCTGGCACGTCTGCCTGCAGCTGCGCCATCCGCTGCAGGCCCCGCGGCCCCGTGACCCCGCACACCCCCAGCTGCCCCCGGCCTCCGTCACCGGCCTTGCCCAATGGCGCCATGGGTCTCCAGGTCTTGTGGCAGCGCCGTCAGAGAAGCAGATGGGCTGGGACGTGGACAAGGTGTCCTCGGTGTCCTCGGCGTCTCTAAGGAAGCAAACATAGTCGGCCTGAGCGGTGGTGCCAGGGCAGCCCTGGGAGGGGGCAGGGCAGAGCAATTAGAGGATTTTCTCCATGACCAAATGGACTGCTTGAGCTTCAACAAGGGGGTGTGGGGGACCGCTGTGCGTCTTCCTGACTTCATACCCGCCTGGGGACAGGTCAGGGGGCGCAGCTGGGAAGAGCTTGGCTGGGCTGCCCCCGGGGGTGAGGTGGGGGCCTGCAGCCATCTCCCTCAGGCAGGGTTTGGATTCTGCTCCCTGCCTGTGACCTACCTGGGACCGGGCCCTCTGTCTCGGCTCACTGACCAGCAATCCAGCTCCCCCAGGATGCTGCAAGGGACAGCGCCTGCACGACGCACGCTTTTCTAACACCTGTCCTGATGTTGCTCTGCTGTTCGGTGCCACTTTCTGGTCTCACAGTTCCTAGGCGGCCAGCATGGCCCTCCAGCTGGCAGCCCCTGCCATGGTCAGGTGGGGGTGCCAAGGAAGGAGACACGAGATACCAGTGTCCACTCACGACCGGAAGCATGATGTCCCCCGGGTGTCAAGAGCAGTCAGCACGGAGGGTGCAGAGGCCGGGGCAGGGCTTGGCAGGGAGCCTGGGGAGCCGGGCCCTTCCCACTGCCTTTCTCCCTGAAGTCCCAGGGGGGCCCCTCCAGTGCTAGCTGTTTCCCACCGTGACGTGTAAGTCAGACAGGCAGCGTGGCGGGGAGGCAGGAGGCCCATGCTATAACCACAATAAACGACCGCTATTATTCCACAAGGCTGTTTTCAGACAGAGCGCGGGGGTCTCTGGCTGACTTCCGGCAGGTGGCGCCGTTCGCGTCCGGGGACTGAGTGGCTCCCGCCCCCGGCGCTGAGCCAGAGTCCGGCTCTTACCCGGGACGCAAAGCGAGGACCACTCAGCAGGGTCGGCCTCGGCCCCCGCAGTAGCCGAGGTCCGGGGTCCAAGCCTATCCCGGTCGGGCCTTTGGCCCCGTCCCGGATGCCAATCATCGGGTCAGATCCCGCCCAGGCGGCGAGACCACGCCCGTCCCCGCCCCTGAGCCCTAGGCCCTCCTGCTGCGGGGGTGGGGGAGCCCCTCTGCCGAGCCCCGCCCCCGTAGCCGCTGCCCGCCGCAGGTCCATCTCCCCGCGCCCGGCGAGAGGCCTGAAAAAGTAGCGTGGACAGGGCCCGGGAGGCTCCAACGGAGCGTTCGGGGGACCGCGGGCCGCAGGGCATGGGCAGCATCTGGGTCGGGTCCCCGCCCGCACGGGCCGCGGGCGGGGCCCTGTTTGCTCCGAGGGGCGGGCCGGAGGAGGTGTCTCTCCCGGTGCAGCGGATCCGGGTGGCCCCCGGGCAGGTGCCCCGACGGCCGAGCCCCGGGCCGGGCCCTCGCCATGGCCGAGCGGCGCGGGGGCCTGAGGGCCCGCCTGACTCGCCTCCTGGCCGGACTAGGGGTCCGCAGGGGGCGCAGGGGGCAGATGACCTCGCAGGAGGCCAGATCCCGGGATAGGTGAGGGGAGAGGGGCTGAGGCCGGGAGCGGGGTGTGTGGGTGGCTAGGAATACGTGTGTCGTTGGGGTCTGATTTTGGATACGTGAATGTGGGAGGGCCCCGGGCTCTTGGCAAAAGGTAGAGCAATTTGAAAATTCCCTAAGCCGGGCAGGCGCCAGCAGACAACGGTTTCCTCTTGGGGACAGTTTGAGGCACACTTAGCAGTTCCTCCTGGGGACTGAGTGTCACCCGCAGACTAGCGCAGCTCCGGTCTTGGCGTCCCTCGGTCCTGAGTGGCAGGTTCCGCAGTCGTCTTGGACGGCACCGCGTTTGCTGAGTCGACACCGATTTGTCCCCCTAGCCAGTACTGCACCTGGCAATTGCTTATCAAAACGAGAAGTTTTCCTTCTCCACTTACTTCCTGGATTACGCTGTGTAACCCTCAAGGCAGCCCTATAAAGTGGAGGATCAGACAGGCGAAGCCACCTGTTCAAAGTCACACAGCTGGGAAGTGGTGGAGCCGGGATGCACACGTCAGCAGTCTGGCTAAGGAGCCTACATCCGGAAGCCCGGTGGCCTGCGGAGACCGGCAGAGCGCAAGCCAGGGGCTGCGCCAGGTCCAGAGCTCAGGTGCCCGGGCTGGGCGAGCCTGTGCGCGGGTAGCTGAAGTCAGCGTGAAGGAAAACCCCTCCGCTAAGGGCTGGGCGGAAAGGCTGGGAGAGGCAGCGAGAAAAGCCGAGCGGGCCCTGAGTCGGCAGAGTGCGGGGGTGTGCGCCCAGCACCGCTGTTTGTGTGTCTGCGCAGTTACCCGGCAATTTGTTCTGATCTTATCCACACGCAGCTGTCTTCAGCCCGCCCCGGGAGGGGTGGGGGCTTGGGGTGCAGAATGAGGGGAGGGGCCTGTACTGCTGTCTCACGCTAAAGACAGAAAGGGAGTGCCCAGCCTCACTCTGTCTGGAAGCCTGGGTGCCTTGGGGTGCCCACACCCTGCCGGTGCCCTGCCCGCCCCCGCCTGGAGGACACACCCTCCCCCTTTACCCTGTCTGGCAGAAACCTGCCCTATAGGCCCAGCACTGCCCTTCCCTCTCCCTACTCAGAGTTGGGGGTGCAGGTGAGTCAGGGGAGGGGTGCAGCGCCAGCGTGGTGACACATGCCATGCATGCGTGCACTTGGCCTCAGCTCTTACCCGCTGACAGCGTGGGGGCAGGGGCAAGGCATGTCATCATCTTATCCCCATTCCTGCTGTGATGTCCAACCAAGCTTTGAAGAGGGATGGGCCTGGCATTCTAACTGCAAGGCTCACGAGCTGTGTGACTCTGAACAAGTCACTTTGCATTGCTGGGCCTCGGTTTCCTTGTCGGCAAAATGGGAGCGCTAATAACCCTCTGCTAAGAGTATTGTGGATGAAGCTAGCGCTAAGCCTGTCACGCAGGAGGCCTCAGCAAGGGGTGCGTTTCAGAATTGTCCTAGCGATGTCCTTTCTCTGCATTCTGGCCCCTGCCCCCATTTAAAAAAAAAAATGTTTATTTTCAATTGTTTGAGAAGCAGAGAGAGAGGGAGAGGAGGGGAGAGATCTTCTATCCACTGGATGCCCCAAAGGCCAGGCCAAAGCCAGCAGCTGGAACTCCATCCGGGTCTCCCACATGAGTGGCAGAGACCCTAGCACTTGAGGCTGCTGCCTCCCAGGACCTGTTAGCAGGAAGCTGGATGGGAAGTGGAGTAGCTGGAACTGGAACCAGCACTCTGATACGGGATGTGGGCATTCTGAGCGGCGGCTGAACCCGCCCTGCTGCGACACCAGCCCATCTTGTCCCTTTCTCTGCCTCCGGGGATGGAGTGGCCTGCGAGGAAGGCAGCAGAGAGAGGGCTGCTGAGGGCCCTTTGCCCAGGGTTACGGGAGCTCACCCTGCTGGTGCTGAGAGAAGGGGTCGGGGGGGGCTGTTGAGGGGTACAGGTGCTGTGCACGACGGGAGGAGGCTGCCACATCCCCTTCCTCTGTGCTTGCTTCACAGGCCCTGGGGTGGCCAGAGCTGCCCTGACCTGGCGCAAGGCTGGGGCAGCACCAGCGATGTCAGCCTCAAGGTAGGCGAGGACGCAAAGGGGAAGTGGGGGTGGCGGAAGCTCGGGAGGGCTGGGCAGGCTCTGAGAGCCAGGGCTTGCAAGTCAGACGAGTGAGTGGCCCTGCACTCTGCCCTCTGCCGCTGATTCGCTGTGTGCTGCTGGGCACATCACTCCCCACCTCTCAACTGCAGGGTCCTCACTTGCAAAACGGGCGCCATGATGCTTCTCTCCGTGTCGCTGTCTCCCTCTCTCTTTCTGGGTCATTGGGAAAAATAGAGTAATGGATGTGGAACATACAGTATGGGACCTGGACACTCAGGAAACCTGAGCTCCCTGATGCTGGGGCCCTGGGAGAAACAGGACTCCTTCTCCCCATCTCTTTCTCTTTTTAACATATTTATTTATTTGAAAGGTTCATTTATTTATTTGAAAGGCAGAGTTAAAGAGAGAGAGAGAGGAAGAGACAGGAAAGAGAGAGATCTTCCACTTGCTGCTGATTCACTCCCCAAATGGCTGCAATGACCACAGCTAGGCCAAGCTGAAGCCAGGAGTCTGGAACTCTGTGAGGGCCTCCCGTGTGGGTAGCAGGGGCCTAAGCTCTTTGGGCCATCATCTGCTGCTTGATTTATTTGAGGGGTAGAGTGACAGAGAAAGAAAAATAGAGAGATCTTCCATCCACTGGTTCACTCCCCAAATGCCTACAATGGCTGGGGTTGGGTCAGGCTGAAGCCAGGAGCCTGGAACTCCATCCAGGTCTCCCACATGGGTGGCAGGGACCCAAGCACTTGGGCCATCTTCCACGGTTTCCAGGTGCATTAGCAGGGAGCTGGATCAGAAGTGGAGCAGCTGAGATTCAAGCCGGCACTCATAGGATGCAGGCAACAGCTTAATCTGCTGTGCCAAACACCAATGCTTGCCCCCTGACACCTACACACTAATCCCTCCTTTGGTTTGACTTTCACCCACCCGTGTGTCTCCTTCTCCTCACTTCCTGGCATGCCCCCCAGGGGTGATGCCAGGCCAAGGCTTAACTTTCTGCATCCACAGTGGGGACCTGAGCTGTGAGTTTGACCGCAGAGAGGTGTTCCCCGATTGGAGAAGGCAGACACAGCCCTGCCAGGCTGGCTCAGGTGGCCCAGTGTCTAAGGTTTACTGGACATTTCGGTATGTGCAGGGCGCTCTGCATGGGTTATCTTGTCCAATCTGCACAGCACTCTCAGGTACTGTTATTATCACACAGGGAGAATGAGATGCCAGCGGTCTTGTGGCGAGCAAGGGACAGAGCTGAGAATCAGCTCAGCCCAGCACAAGCCCGCATCAACAGTCCACTCTGCTGTGTCTCAAGGTGTCCGCCCCTGGGGAACCAGATGCTGCCTCGAGTTCATAGATGAGTAAATTGAAGAATTCGGCAGCCAGGGCCCCTGCTCGGAGGAATTTTGACCCTGGATTTGTCTCCTGTGGTGCTGAGGATAGAAGGCTTACCCTGAATGTTGGCGGTTTGGGGGCAGTGGGATCCTGAGCTTCCTCCCCACATCCCACAGCCAGGAGGGACCCCAGCGGAAGACAGCGGACAGAGGTCAGGTGCTGCTCCCATTCGGAAGACCCCTCTTCCCTGGCTCCCTCCTGTCCCGGGTACATCTCTGTCCAGGGTTCCTCCTCCTAGGCGTGCTGTGGAAAGCAGGCTGGAAGACCCAAGGGAGGTGGCTGTGTTGTCCCTCTCGTAGCCTGGAAAGGGTAGAGGCTGTGGGAACTTGAGGAAGGCATGCGCACACAGCCCTGAATCCCCAAGGCCCTGATATCAAAGGGCCAGAGACGGGACTGGTGTTGTGGCACAGTGGGTTAAGCTGCCATTGCGACACCGGCATCCTGTATCAGCGTACAGTTCAAGTCCCGGCTGCTCTGCTTCTGATCCAGCTCCCTGCTAATGCACCTGGGAAGGCAGCAGTAGAAGAAGTGCTTGTGTCCCTGCCACCTACGTGGGGGACCCGGATGGAGTTCTAGGCTCCCGGCTTTGTCCTGACCCAGCCCTGGCTATTGTGGCCATTTAAAGAGTAAACCAGTAGATGGACGATCGATTCTCTCTCTCTCTGTCACTCTGCCTTTCAAATAATAAATAAAATAAATCTTAAAAAAAAAAAAAGAAGCCCGAGGGTCCTGTGGAAATGGCAGTGGCCTGCTGGGAAGCCGAGACCACTGCTCTTTGTGAGGCGTAGCCTGGCCGCCGGTGCGTCTTCGCCTGGGAGGCAGGCTCAGGCCTGAAGTCGGGAGCCCTCTCTGCCTTGCTGTGTGACCTTAGTCAGGTCACTGTCGTCTCCGGGCCTCGCTTCCCTCATGCATAGAAATGGAAGGACCTCCTAGAGCCCTGGCCCTTTGTCCAGCTCTGGTGGCCCTGGCAACCTCTCCCTAGGGCAGCTCTGCTTGGTAGCAGAGCCCTGCTCAGCTGCCCCTGTGCCCAGGAGGGAGCCATGGTTGCCCAGGGGACCTGGAGGGCAGGGGGCAGTGCTGTCCCCATGTCCCTCCTCCCCTTGATGGCGCCTCTGTTTTCCCCTAGGCTCAAGCCCAGAGCCACTCAGAGTGGGACCTTCAGGCAGGGAGCCCTGGTGATTTCTGGCTTTGGAAGCAGCGACACATCTCAGAGCGGGTGACTGAGCCCCTGGGGCGCCTCGCACGGCCAGCTGTTGGCAGCGCCTCTGACCTGGCCAGCTGGACCTCCCTGGAGCCGGAGGGTCTGGCATTGGCAGTGGCATCGGCAGAGCCCCCCGATGCCAGGGACCCCTCTCACCCGGGACCTGCTCCTGGACATTCGGAACAAGGATCCCCAGGCTGCACCTGCCTGCACCCCCTGCACACAGCTGCAGAGGCCCCTCTGGTGGAGCCGGCCGGCAACCTGCAAGGCGCACCCCTGCTGCCCCGCCCAGCATCCTTCCCCAGGTCAGTGGGGGCAAAGGGCGATCCCAGCACCACGGGACCAACCCTGCCAGAGCCGGCCCAGACCCTGTGCGCCGGTGCCTCGGCCAGGAGGACCCGCTACCACATCACTGTCACCCTGCAGGGGCGTGGGCAGGCTCCTGGGGCGGAGGGCGAGGAACCGGCCCGACCAGCTCCCCGCCCCTGCGGCCCTGAGGAATCCAGGGGCTGGCAGGAGCCTCCCCAGGGGCCCCGCCCCATCACGGGGTGCCCGAGAGACCCGCCCTGGCAGCCGGGGCTGAGAGCCGGCCCGCATCAGGGGAACACGGCCCAGTGGCAGGAGCTCCAGGCCGGCCGAACACCTGGGTCCCCACACGGACGGTAAGTAGAGGCCGGTGCCCGTGGGGGTGATGACGGGAGGGGAGACTGGCCTGGCTGTCCTCTCTTGATTCTTGGGTCGCTCTGCTCTGTCCTTGGCCTTCTCTGACTTGAGACCCATTCACTGGGCACCCTGAGCAGGAGCTGACCCTGCCACCCCCACCTGCTCCAACTCTGCCTTACTGTCTGTCCTTTACCCCCACAGCCTAGCTCCTGGAACCCAAGGCTGCCCACCTGCCTGAGGACAGGCCTATTCTGCTGTGGCTAGGTTGGGCAGGAGGACGGTCACCTTCTCCTTAGCCTCCCTCACCACTCCCTGGTTCTATTCAGGAGGCCACAGACCCAGCCTGGGAACAGGCACCCAGCCAAGGTGCTGGGTATCCTGAAGCAAGTTGCTTAACCTCTCTGGGCTTGGAGCTGTTGAGTGGATTTGGGGACTGGAGATGAGGAAGGAGGAGGTGTTTACAGGCACATGCTTTGAACTCCAGAGAGCTGGCTACCAACATAGCAGGGTGCCTATTAATTATGCCGTGGTGGCAGGGGTAATTACCCACCTGGCTCTGTGCTGGCAGCCCAGGAGCAGGCATTAGATTCCCAAGCTGTGGCTTTTCTTTGTGTTGGCACTGACTCTGAATCTGCCTGGTGGCCCAGAGGTGGAGGGTGGGCTCCCCAAAACAGGAAGGGGCCTGGACCTCAGGCAAGGCTGTGAAGAACTAAGGATGACAGGGGGTGGCTACCATCACAGCTTGTTTCCAAGCATGCTTTTTTTTAAAAAAAGAATTTATTTATTTATTTATTTATTTGAAAGACAGATTTACACAGGGGAAGAGAAAGAGATCTTTCATCCCACTGGTTCACTCCCCAAATGGCTGCAATGGCCAGGGTAAGGCTAGGCCAAAGCCAGGAGCCTGGAAGTCCACCCGGGTCTCCCAGGTGGATGGCAGGAGCCCAAGCATTTGAGCCGCCTTCAGCTGCCTTCCCAGGTGCATTAGCGGGGAACGGGATTGGAAGCCGAGCAGCTGGGATGGCTTCACCAGCTATGCCACAAGCACCATTGTATTTAATCTTCACCTCTCCGTGGAGTCAGGACTAATCCCACCCCCTCCCACCTAGTTACAGCAGGGAAGCTAAGACTCAGAAAGGCTTTGGGCTTTGCCCAAAGTTACCCAGAGAGGGAGGGGGTGGGATCTGAACCCAGGTTCTGTTAACTCCAGGGCCTGGGCTCTGATCGACTGACTTCTGCATCCTGCTTGCTCTGGAGACTTGGGGTTTTCTGTGACCCTGGGGAGGTGCACGTGGCCTCAGAGGCAGAGCTAGGGCTGCCATCCTCAGGGCAGGAGCTTGTGCCTGGGGGGCTCCAGCACTGGGAGGGGGGGAAGGAGGAAGGAGAAGGAGGAGGAAGGCCCCGAGGGGAGATGAAGGGCAGAGTTAGCTGGTGGGGGGGACCCTGGCCTGGCCTCCACCTGCCCCTCCTGGCTATTTTGGGCCCAGGTGGATAATGACAGCCTCAGGCTGAGGCTAGGGCTCACTTAGAGCAGGGAGGAAGGCGACCCAGGGGCATCATCCTGCCCCATGCCCTTTAGGGGAGGGTTCTCTAGGCCAGGATTGGCCAATGTGGGGAGGCGGATGGCGTGCCTGTGGAGATGTGTGATACGTGTGTGGCCAGCGTGGGTGCCCACGTTCAAGTGTGGATGAGTGCCAAGGGGAAGAGAGCCCATGGCTGTGAGCGGACAGTGTGTATGTCGTGAGAACAGGTGCACGGTGCATGTGTCTATGTGTGTACATGTGACTTGTCTGCCTGTGAGTCTGTGTCCGAGCGTGTGACCGTGGGTCGGTGTGGGTCCGTGCCTGTGTGACGCAGCATGTGTTTGCTGCCTGTGGACTGGTTTGGCCTAGTTTGGGGGTGACTCACAGGTAAGCGGGGAGAATCCAGGACTTGTTGAGTTAGACAAGACTCTTTCCCACACTCCCCCACCCCCTCCTCAGCCTCTCCCTTCTCAGCCCCACACCTTGTTTGGAGGTCACAGGTCATGGTGCCAGCACACCTACTTCTGGTGGGAGGCGCTGGAGAAGAGAGGCTCTGAGAGTGGGTGCTTCTGCTGGCCCGGGGGCAGCTGGGCCCGGGGGTCTGTCTCCAGAGCAAAGACAGAGGGCGCGGCTCAGTAGGCAGACTCCAGTGCTGTTCAAATATTCTAGCAGCTGGGACTGTCCAGGAGTGGGGCAGGTGAACCGTCAGGTGGTGACTTCCCTGTCCCTAGAGGAATGCAAGCCAAAGCCGGTGACCACATGCTTGTGGAATGGGTGACCGTAGGGGTGTTGTCCAGGGGTTGGGCTGGGTGGAGAAAGGCATTGATTTTTAAGATTGTTGGGCCGGTGTTCACAATATCTGGTCTGGTCACCAACGGCAGCTCCTGTTGCTTTGCCACAGCCTGGGGGCCGAATGTGATGTCTGTGCCTTTGACCCCTGGACACAAAGTCCCACCTTCACGGGAAAGTGGCCTCTGAATGAGCCTAGTGCCGGGCGGGCCCAGCACACCTGACACAGGCAGCACTGAATGAATGGGTGAGCTAGAAGCAGGTGTCACTGCACACCCTCAGCACCACTGGGTGGTCTCAGTGAATGGCAGGGAGTGGTTATTGTTCAGAGCAAGGAGGTGCAGCTTAGGGGGGTCCCATGAGAAGAAAGGGACTCTGCATTGATGACGGGCAGACGCTTGGGGCATCACGGGAGGGCTGTCTGCTCTCCAGAGGCTCTGGCCTGGGGAAAGAATTGGGGGTCCCTGGAGGCCCCCACCTCCCCCAGACGTGAGGGCTTTCCGGGGCTCCTCGGACGCTGTCCCCACACTCTCACGGCCACCAGTGGTTCTGGACTCGGGGCAGGCTTCCCTGGGCCTCAGCCCCTTTCATCTCTGCCCCTCATAAAACCTGAGTCATGGCTGGGGCCTCAGGGAGGGTCAAAGTTCTGGGTTCCACCAGCTTCTCACAGGACAGAGAGGGAGCTGGGGGAGGGGAGCGGGGCAGTTTCTGGCCAGGTGGGGGTTCTGGGGCTCTTGATGGAAGAAGACGGGTCGGCCCTGGGTCTGGGGAGAAACGGGCTGATGTCTCCGGAGTCCTCAGGCTCTAAGAGGCCAGGCGGTGGGGACGGGCAGCTCACAACAGCCCTGTCACCTTTGAGATGCTGACAGGGGGACGGGCAGTCCCTCCGGAACTGGTGGGGCCCCTGAAAGCGTAACCCCCAGCCAGAGTCTCCATCTAGCAGGCAAGCACATTTGGAGTTTGCCGTAGCGGGGAAGCACTTCGAGTTCACGTCTCGGTTCACCTTTCTGACTCTTAAAAAAATCTCATCTGCAAAGTGGGAATGTTTGTTGGTAACTTCTTAATCATGTATTCTTCGTGAGGTCTGCAATTCGAGGGACTCTTCTGAGGAGTCCTCCCTAGTCACTCAGGACAAGGAATGCAAAGCATTTCACAAGGTCTGGGGCAGAGCGAGCCCCTCAGCAAACGGCTGTTGGTGTCATGGTTACTAGGGGAACGGGAACCAACCGAGGTCTAGGGCAGGTGCTGTTAGCCCTGATGGAGCAGAGGAGAGATCGACCGAGGGTCAGAGAATTAAGAGGCAGGCCCCACCCCACAAGCCTCTGCGGCAGAGGGGTGGGGAGCAGCCGGATGTGCCCCAGCCTCAGGCTATGGGTGGGGGGGACCCCAAAGATGTGAATCCGCACCCCAGCGTGGCGGCCAAGTACCTGCCTCACGCCCTCTGTGAGCCTCACGAATGTTACTGTGGCCGTGGAACTGAGCGAGAAGGCATCGTGGACGCCCACCGTGCCGGGGCCCGAGGGGCAGGCTGGGCTCACTGAGGAGCCCTCTGCCCTGACTGCCGTGCTGGGCTGCGCGCGTGCGCCCGCTGGCCCGTGGTCGGCCTCTCGCAGGTGACAGGGAAGCTAGGAGCCAGCATCTTAGCTTGGAAAGCGAGTCCCCACTGCTCTTTGACTGGAGACCCAGTAGCACGTGCTCCTAGTGCTTCGGTTTTGTGGCTGGGGACCCTGATGCTTGAAGGGAAGAAGTGGCCTCCCAAGGTCATCCAGCCGGTGAGTGACAGCCCCTGGGGGAGCCCAGCTCCGCAGGAAGCCAAAGCCCCTCCTTTCTTAGCTCCCCTTCCAAGAGGCCTGTGGGCAACAGGGTCTGAACAATGCGCGCCCAGTTCTCAGCTCCTGGGGCAGAGGCACAGACCCATCCCAGGCCAGCGGGCCCGCAGCACCTCCCGCCCTGCCCTCTCCCTTCTCCCTCCTTCCAGCTGCAGGCCCTGGCTTCACCCTTTGAAGGAGCCTGACACAGGGGATTACCTGGAGTGGGAGGATGCAGCTCTGATGAAGCCAATCAAAGCTGAAACACACCCACTTTACAGATGAGGAAACAAAGGCTACCCAGCATCACAGTGGCGAGAGTAGTTATTCTTTTTTTTTTTTTTTCTTGATGTGGCCGGTGCTGTGGCATAGTAGACTAAGCCTCCACCTGCAGTGCTGGCATCCCATATGGGCACAAGTTTGTGTCCCAGCTGTTCCTCTCCTATCCAGCTCTCTGCTTATGGCCTGGGAAAACAGCAGAAGATGGCCCAAGTGCTTGGGCTGCTGCACCCGCATGGGAGACCTGAAGGAAGTTCCTAGCTCCTCACTTCGGATTGGCCTAACCCTGACCGTTGAGGCTACTTGCGGAGTGAACCAGTGAATGGAAGACCTTTCTCTCTGTCTGTAACTCTACCTCCCTCTCTATGACTCTGCCTCTCAAATAAATAAATGAAATCTTTATAAAACAGATTTATTTATTTGAAAGGCAGAGATACAGAGAGAGAGAGAGGGAGGGAGGGAGCAAGAGCGAGATCTTCCATCCACTGGTTCACTCCCCAAATGGCTTCAACAGCTAGGGCTGGGCCCATCCGAAGCCAGAAGCCAGGAACTTCCTCCAGGTCTCCCACACGAATGCAGGGGCCCAAGCACTTGGGCCATCTTCTGCTGCTTTCCCAGGAACATTAGCAGGGAGCTGGATCAGAATTGGAGCAGCCGGGATATGAACTGGTGCCCATATGAGATGCCGGCACTGCAGGTGGACACTTAACCTTCTAGGCCACAGCACCGGCCCCAGGAGTACTTATTGTGCATTTCAGGGAACCCCCAAACCACCCCCTGACCTCTCTCTTCTTGTTGGCACCATCTGCAGGGAGCTGGACGGCAGTGGGGCAAGGACGCCTCAGGACAGGGGGCCGGGGCCCAACATGGAGGAGGCAGGGGGGTCCCCGGCCCGGGCCGAGACCCAAGTGGTCAATGCCACGCTGACGTGGTGGCAGCGGCCCCCTGCCCCGGAAGAGGTCAGACACCGTTTCCACAAGGTGTCCCTGGTGTCAGGGGCCGGGAAGGAAGCCTCCCCGGAGGAGATGTTTGAGTGCAGCCTCCGTCGAGAGGAAGTGAATGGCTTTGCTACGCGGGAAGAAGAGAGCGTGACCGAGCAAGGCCCTCGGGAGGCAGCCGGCCCCAGGAACTTCCAAAGCCACGGGCCCATCTTTTCCAGGCAGTATGTACCACCCCCCAAGGAGAAAAGGCCGGTGGGGCGGCCCAAGGAGGCTGTGGACCAGAGCGATGGCCGCCTCCCGGCTCCCAGAACTGAGCCACCGGGCATGGGGGCCACAGCCAGGACTGAGTTCTTGGTGCCCCTCCCTGGGCCCCGGGAGCCAAGTCCCCACCCAGCTGTGGGGCTCCGGAACCTGCGGGTGACACGCACAGTACGGACCACCACCATGGTGGGAGGGCACGTGGACCGCCGGGTGAGCAGCTCTGTGACCGTGGGGCCGGTGCTGTCCAGCGAGGCTCTGCCAAGAGGCCGCAACGTGGCCCGTGCGATCCGGGCGGTGGTGGTGAGCCCTGCGGCAGACGGCGGCCCCAGCCGCAGCCAGGCCCTGGAGCTGCTCAGTAGCCTGGTGCCTGCAGAGCGCAGTCCACCTGCCAGTCGCCTCCCCAGACCCACAGCCATGGTGCCAAGGAGTCCGGGCCTGGGTGGCATAGGGAGGGCAGCCCTGGGACAGCTGCCTGAGACCAGGGCGGCCGAGCCACAGGACAACTCTGCCCTGGCCTCTGCAGGCAGCCCAGCGGCTGCTCCCGCATCTCAGAGCCAGGATGTGCCTGCAGCCCTCCCAGGGCAAGAGCAGGCCAGAGCCCAGGATTCCAAGGCCTGTGAGCTCCCCAGGGGGCAGGAAGCCTCCAGCCCCACTCAGCTCCCTGTGCAGACTTCTCCTGGCCACGCCCCAGTCCCCTCCTCTTCTGGGCTCCAGACGCAAAGTCCCTCCTTGGGCCTGGTCCACCCTCCAGAGCAGCCTGTGGTGCCCACTCCCCCCGGGGCCCAGCCCCCTCCCCACGCTCTGCCCCCTGCCAAAAAGGAAGGGTTCAGCGATGCCCTCATGGCCACCGTCCCACCCACAGTGAAGAGCGAGGTTGTCATTGTTCCTGGACCACCTCTTGCCCCATCCTCGGCAGGAAGTAAGGCTGGGCCCAGCCCAGGACATCTTTCTCCTCCATCGTCCCCGCGGGGTGAGTTTGGTCAGGACGCCACACAGGTCCCTATCTCCTCCCTCGCTCGAAAGGAGCAGGCAGCTCGGGGCCCTGGGGCTCCTCTTGGCCCACCGCCCAACCAGGAAGAGGTAGTGGAGGATGCTCCTGGCACCCCACCCCCCAAGCCAAGCAAGGTTGTCGGGGACCCAGAAGGCAGCTCCAGCCCACAAACGGAGGGGGTGCAGGGTGTTGCAGACAGCCTCGCCCCCTCCCTCACCAAAGAAGGGACCACTGTAGAGGGCTCAGCTGCCCCGGCCCCCCCTCCCCCGCAACAAGATAAGCCTTGCCTGGGCTCTGAAGGGAGCCCCCTCGTGTCTCCCACCCAAAAAGAGGTTGCTCAGGACTCTGGTGCTTCTGCTATCCCATTTCCCACCGAGACAGAGGTTGTCCAGGACCCTGCCGGTCCCCTTGCCCCATCCTCCTCAGCGGACCAGGTAGCCCCCGGCCCAGGAAGTACCCCCAGTCCAATGCCAGCGGTAGCAGAGGCTAGCGTGGAGTCCCAGTTTGTCCCCGACTCCACCGAGGGCAAGACGCTCCCAGAGCCATCAAGGGAGGAGGATGAGTTGGCCTTGGCCGCAGACCTGGAGATTTTCCTGGACACCCTGCGGAGCATGGAGCCCCCCGAGATCCTCCGCACTCACCGGCTGCCACGAGCCCCCCGCGCCTCCTACCTGGCCATGTATGCCACACTCCCTGCCATCGAGGAGGACCAGCCTGGGCCCTGGGTGCTGGGTCCCAGCCCCCAGGAGGTGCCTGGCCTGGAAGAGAAGGAGCAGGAGAAGGAAGTGGGAAAGGAGGAGGTAGAGGAGGAGGAGGAACCAGAGAACCCCTACCTGAGTGACGACGAGAAGCTCCAGCGCAGGCAGGAGAAAGCCAAGCCCGGCCCCTCCTGGGACCCGCGCCCTGCCAGGCCCAGCCAGGGCTCTTGCTCGCCGCTGGAGATGATGAAGAAGCACGTAGCAGGTGCCAAGGGCCCCCAGCCGGAGCTGGGGCCGGACGCTCAGGCCGGCAGCAGGCGCACTTCCCGGCTCGGAGGCAGCCTTATCTTTGGCAGTCTGGTGCCTGCCACCAAGGAGACCCCGAAGCTGGAACCACTGGGCACAAAGCTATCCGCTCTGCCACCCCATGGGGCGCCAGGCGTCAGAAAGGTGCCGGGGCAGCTGCCTCTGCTGTGCAGTGAGAGCCCCTCGGCAGGGAAGACCACACGTGCCCGGCAGCCGGAGGGGTGGGTGAGTGAGGCCTCGTGTGGGCGAGGGAGGCGCCGTGGGCTCCAGCTCGGGAGGTGTGAGGGGGTCACAGGCTCTGGAGGCCGGAGGGTTGCTCGGAGGTCTGGGTCAGTTGGCCTCTGCAAGGCTGTGTGGGCCCCAGTCTCCCCATCCGCGTCACCAGAGGTGTGTAGTGTGGGTGCCAAGGGGCATGGTGGCCCTGATGCCCGGAAGCTGGGTGGGGGCTCCTAGACACCCAGGTTCCTATCAGAGGAGGCCAACAGGGAGGGGGTGGGATCCCTGGAATGGCAGGTTGTGGGGGGCAGTGAGGAGGCGACCCCATAAAGCTTCTTATGATTCCCTCATTCCAGAGCCCAGCACTGAAGAGCCAGGGCAAGCTGAACACCCGGCCTGGGAAGGTAGAGGCAGGGGGCAAGTGGGCCGGGTGGCAGGGGGCGGGGCCTGGGGGTGGGGTCTGAGGACCCCGGCTGTGCCTTCTCAGGTCATCCTCTTCTCTGAGCCCGGCTGCCAGGGCAACCGCAGGGAGGTCTGGGAAGACGTGGCGGATGCTTCGGGCTGGGCCCCCGTGGCCTCCATAAGGGTAGTGCGAGGCTGGTGAGTGTGGCGTGACGGGGGCGGGGAGGTGTGCTGGCTGTGCCGAGGGGAGTGAGGAACAGCCAGGCCAGCCTGGCAGAAACCCCGCCAGCTACCCAGAGACCCTGGCTACAACCTCCTTCCCACCTGTGACCCTGGGGTTTCTGTGCCCACAGCTGGGTGCTGTACGAAGAGCCAGAGTTCCGGGGCCGGAAGCTGGTCCTGCCTGAAGGTGATGTGGAGCTCAGGGCCCCGGAGCCAGCCTGGAGCACCCATGGCATTGGCTCCCTAAGGAGGGTTGTCCGGGTGAGTGGGCTGGAGCAGGGCCCTGGGGTGCCCCAGCCACGTTGGGTCCCGACCCCGAGCAGGAACATGCCCTCGAGTTGGCATTGCAGGGAGAGATTGTGAGGGGCAGGGCCGGAGTGTGGGGGTACTTTTTATGAACTTGACCTTGGAGCCTACTGGGGAAGGAAGGGACTCTGGGGAGTGTGCCGTCTGTGGCAGGAGGCAGGGCCAGGCAGAGGTCACGCTCCCACTTAGAAAAGCAGCCTGGAGAAGCAGGCGCTGCGGCTGGAGCAGGACCGGGCACAGCAGCGGAGACTGCGTGGGAGTGGGTGTGGGCGTGGGGTCGCCCAGCCCACAGGCAGGCCCCAGGTGTCACGAGTGGCTGTCCGCTCATTTGTTCCCAGATGCTTGGGAATGCCTAGTGCATGCCAGGCACCGTGCCAGGTGCTGGGTGGGCGGGGCCCTGCTCTCTGCCCTGCAGGATGTACAGTCAGCTCAGGTAGGGGCTGGTTCGAAGCAGAAAGCCATATAACCAGATCGGGGGTTTACAAGCATCTGCTGGCTGCCAGGAGGGCACAGCACTGGGAGGCAAGGGAGGTCGGTGACGGCCAGCCCAGGGGCACCTCTGAGGGAGGGGCATCTGGTGTGCAAAGTCAACATTGCCATTTCCTATTTGTCAAGCAGAAAACCAGCGATAAATTCACAAGCTACTGAAATCCAGGGCAACAAACCATCTCGGTCTCTAGGGGGATCCAGAAGGAGGGGCCTATGAGACATTTAAGGGTTTTTGCTTATTTTGGAGTTTTTTCCTTTGGTTTATCTATTTATTTGAGAAGCAAAGAGAGAAAGATGGACAGTCCAAACTCCCATCTGCTGGTTCGCGTCCCAAATACCTACAACAGCCGAGGCTGGTTGAAGCCAGGAGCCAGAACTCGATCCAGGTCTCCCATGTGGGTGGCAGGAGCCATCACCGCTGCCTCCCAGGGTCTGAGTGGCAGGAAGCTGGGGTCAGGAGCCAGAACCGGGATGTGGGTGTTCACCGCTAGGTTCAATGCCTGCTCTCGTGTTTTCAGTTTTTAATGAAAAGGCGGAAAACTGAGCCCAGAACTGCTCTGCACAGTCTTCCTGGCGAGAGCTGAGCCGTAGCCAGGGCAGTGGCCCAGGAGGAGGGAACAGACGTTTTCAGAAACTCAGAAATGCTTGCAGACAGTTTATTGTGAACTTCTCACCATGAATTTATCTTTGTGTGGGAGGTAATGACAGATGAGAGAAAAACAAAGGCTTTGAAGCCTGATGGTCCTGAATTCATTGACTCAGCGCTGATTGGGCACCTACTGTGTGACAGGCACGTGGGAGATGCTGGATTACAACAGGGGACTAAGCCTCCCCACTCTGCTCTGAGCTCTGCCACTCACCAGCATGTGACCTTGGGCATGTTGTCACCGAGCCTCATTTTCCTCGTCTGTGAGTGGAACAGTAATACCTGTCTGGAGGCCAACATGAGAGGCGCAGGACACAACCTGGGCAGGGTGCCTTGCACTCCGTAAAGCTTCCTAAACACCAGATGAATGAGTGCAGATGGCCCCAGTGAGGCCCCAGAACCCCTAGAGTGCAGAGCGGACCTGCTGATTGGACAGAGGCAGGAACTGTGCCTCAAGGAAGGGTCAAAAGTGGATCTCAGGAAGTAGCTATTGCCTTGCCCAAACCTCCACCAGGCTGCCAAGAGGCAAGGGACCAGCATGGCGCTTTGCAGGTTCTCTTGGGAACTACGGTCTCAGGTCTGCATGGTCCAGCAAGGGACCAGCAAGGACTGTGGTCTCAGGCTCGTCAGGCTGAGCGTGCAGAGAATACTCAGTCCCCCTCCTGGTTTCTGGGGAGACAGCCACAGAGGTTTTCCCAGAAGCCTCCCGGTGCCCTGGCTGGACAGACTTGGGGAGCAGGGGTGGGGCTGGTTTAGACTTCATTTCTGCCCCCTGCTTCCCCAGGATTACCGCACCCCAGAGATCAGCCTCTTCCCCGAGGAGGGCTTCAAGGGGGAAAGCATGAAGTTGGTGGAGGCCTTGAAGGACCCCCAGGACCTGGAGAAGCCCCTGCAGGTGGCATCTGCCATTGTCTCTGCCGGACTGTGAGTCTGGACCACCCCGGGACCCCTTCATTTCACATTCGCTGTGCTGGGCGCTGGGGACACAGAGGTGCCGGGACGCACTCCCCACCTTCAAGCGTGCTCAGTGTACCTGTGGGGTCAGGCAGGTAAACAGACAACAGCAAGCCAGGGTTCCAGGAAGGGGGAACAGGCAGAGGAGCCAAAGCTGACTTCCTGGAGGTGGAGGCCTCTCTGCTGGGAGGAGTGGGCCAGGAATCTAAGCTCCAGGGTGGCAGGCGAGTCTCTGCCTGCGATCGCATCCCTGAAGCTCAAGGCAGGGCCTGACGCATGCTGGATGCTCCTTAATATCTGTTTATTTAATGACGGGGAAAAGGGGAGGGAACAGCATGTGAGGGGAGGGAGCTCAACTTTAAAAGGTTAGTCGAGCTGGTGTATGCAGGAAATGGGAAGGTGGGAGACCCAGGTGGAAGGGGCCGGATCACAGGTCTCCGTGTGGCTTAACTGGGTTTTATGTGTGTATGTGACTAAGTTAAGGCAGAACAACGGAGACAGAGAGAGATCTGCCATCCACTGGTTCGCTCCCCAAATGCCTGATATAGCCAGCTCCAGGCTGAAACCAGGAGCCAGAAACTCCATCCAGGTCTCCCATGTGGGTAGCAGGGACCCAAGTACTTGAGCCATCACCTGCTGCCTCCCAGGGTGTGCATTAACATGAAGTTGCAACAGAAGTAGAGGTGGGACTCGAACTTAAGCACTCTGATAGGGAATACAAGTGTCCCAAGTGGCAGTGCGACCTGCTGCACCACGGTGCCTGTCCCCTGGGATTTTTTTTTTTTAAGCAGATATGTGTTAGAAAGATCCTCCAGCTGTGTGTGAAATCAGAAAGGGCAGACAAGAGGAAGGAGATGGATGGGATGGCTACTGTAAGAGATATTTACTGTAAGAAACTCCTCCAGGGTCCTCCCCACCCACGATGGGGACCTCCCCCCAAAACCTCATCCTCCCCTGTCAACCTAACTTCTCACCCTCTAAGCAGTGTCTGTTGGGGTCCAGGATGCAGTGGCCTCTCTGCCTCCCTCCAGGTGGCTGCTGTACCCCAAACCATTCTTTGAAGATACCCCCTACATCCTGGAGCCTGGCGAGTACCCCACCGTGGAGGCCTGGGGTGCATCGGACCCCAGTGTGGGCTCCCTGAAGCCCGTGAGATTGGTAAACAGCCGGGCACAGCCACAGGCCCTACCTCTGGTCCCAAGCAGCAGGCGTGTTCCTGTAGTCTGTGGGAAGGAGAGGAGGGGAATGACTGGGAGTGGGGATTGGAGGAGAGGGAGGGGTGGAGGTGAGGGAAAGAGGACACGGGCTTAGCCATTTTTAGGAGTCTCAGGATCAAGAAGATCCCAGGTCCCCAGCCCCATCTGTCTTCCCCCGCTTTGGGCTGGTGTCTCACCTCTGTCTCCCCAACAGGGCTGCCCAAGCGTGGAGAAGCCAGGAGAACCAAGGGTAAGAATCTGGGCTTCAGGGTCAATGAGTGCGAGGTTGGGGGTAGGGTGGGGGTGGGGCTATCCTGGCCTGGACTGCAAGACCAGAGGAGGGGGAGTTCAGAAACTGGGTCTGGGATTGGCACTTGCTGTGCGTGGAGCAGGTCAGAGGCCAGGGACGGGAGCTGGATAAGGGGACGGGGCTCCTTGTGGTTCCTTGTGCTCTGGGCCGATACCGAGCAGACCCGCCCCTGGGCTGGCTGTGCGTGCCCACCAACACGATGCCCACTTCCCGCAGGCTGTGGTGTACGAGGCTCCGGGTTTTCAGGGCCGGAGCTGGGAAGTGAGCAGAGATATCTACGACCTCCAGCAGCCAGAGGACAGCCAGAGCCCCCAGCTGGCCTCTGTGGGGTCCCTGCGCATTCTTGGAGGCTGGTGAGGACTCAGGACACCTCCTGCTACCTTGTCACCCCCACTGGACCTTACCCGGAGGGGTGGGAAGTCCCCTGGGCTGCTCGGGGTGGGGGCAGCTGTCTGACCCTTCTGTGGGCTTCCTGCCCCTGAGTCTTGTCCATCCACCTCCTTCTTCCTCCAGCTGGGTGGGCTATGAGAAAGAGGGCTTCCGGGGACACCAGTACCTGCTGGAGGAGGGGGAATACGCAGACTGGTCACACTGGGGAGGCTATGACGAGCTGCTGACCTCGCTGCGGGTGATCCGAACAGTAAGCAAGGGCAACTGGGCCATCCCTCTGCCTCTGGCCATGGCCACACCTCCCTTAGTATAATTCCTGGAGGGGATAATTTGTAGCCCTTCCCAGAGCTACAGTTTGTTCTCGCAGGAAGTGTTCCCTGAGGTCTGGCCTGCCCCCCCACCCTCCCCCAGGCTACACCAGCCCCCTCACTCCCAGTTCCCCGCGTGGGTTGCATCCCCGTGCTGCGGGTGCTCGGGGAGACACCTGACTTTTCCTGGGGCCCAGGACTTCGGGGACCCGGCCGTGGTGCTGTTTGAGGCCATGGACTTCGAGGGGCACGGCGTGGAGGTGAGCGCGGCGTGGCCGGACGTGGAGCTAGTGCAACACGGCCCCCGCACCCAGGCCATCCACGTGCTCAGTGGCGTGTGAGTGACCCGGGCTCCCGGAGCGGGGAGGGTCTGCCCGGGCCGGAGGCGGCTCCAGGAGCGCCGCCCCCGCCCCCGCTGACCCGCTACCCTCTGTGCAGGTGGGTGGCCTATGAGGCGGTGGGCTTTTCTGGGGAGCAGTACGTGCTGGAGAAGGGCGTGTACCGCAACTGCGACGACTGGGGCGCGGGCAACAGCGCCCTCGCCTCGCTGCAGCCGGTGCTGCAGGTGTGTGCCGACCGCTGGGGCGGGGCTTGAGGTCCGGGGGGTCCCTAGAGGGGGCGGGGCTTGGAGTCCGGGGGCGGGGCCTCCCGGGAGGGCGGCGGGAGTAGCGCTGCAGCTGGACAGCAGCTGGCCCAGCCCAGACGTCTCTAAACTTTGCTCCCTCCCTCCAGGTCGGAGAGCACGACCTGCACTTTGTCTCCAAGGTAAGGAGGCGGCTGCGCGGGGAGCCGGCGGGGGCGCCCGCGCTGGCCCTCGGTTCGGAGCCTCTCATCTCTCCCACCTGGTCCCCAGCTTCACTCGTCTCTCTCCCGCCCTGTGCCTCCAGATCCAGCTCTTCTCCGGCCCCGGCTTCCTGGGCGACCACATCTCCTTCGAGGAGGACCAGGCCTGTCTGCCTGCCTCCTTCCAGCCGCAGTCCTGCCGTGTCCTCGGCGGCAGGTGAGGACGTGGCCGGGGGTAGAGGGCGCGGCGTGTGCACAGGTGCGAGGTCAGGTACGCGCCTGCCCTGGACTTGACAGCCTGGGGCCCGGGATGCAGGAGGAGGTCTTTATTTGAGATGATTTCCTTCCTTCAGCTTCCTTGAAATGAGCTGCTCTTAAAAAAAAAAAAAATTATTTATTTATTTATTTGAAACAATTACACACAGAGAGGAGAGGCAGAGAGAGAGAGAGAGAGAGATTTTCCATCTGCTGGTTCACTTGCCAATTGGCTGCAACAGCCAGAGCTGAGCCAATCCGAAGCCCGGAGCCAGGAGCTTCCTCCGGGTCTCCCACGCAGGTGCGGGGGCCCAAGGACTTGGGCCATCTTCCACTGCTCTTCCAGGCCATAGCAGAAAGCTGGATTGGAAGTGGAGCAGCCTGGTCTCAGACCGGCGCCCATATGGGATGCTGGCATTGCAGACTGCAGCTTTAACCACTATGCCGCAGCGCTGGCCCCTAGCTTATCTGTCTTGAGTCACTCAATTTTAAAGCAAACAAAATAAAATACCGTTCTAATGGGGAATGTAAGCTGTAGGTGGAATAAGATGAAGGTATTTCAAAAAGTTTGTGGAAAAATATAGCTTAAAAATTAAGTTTATTTTGGTGGAAAAGCTTTTAAAACCATGAGCAGTTTTTTTTTTTTTTTTAAGATTTGTTTATTTGAAAGTCAGAGTTGCACACAGAGAGATGGAGAGGCAGAGAGAGAGAGATATTTTGGATCTGCTGGTTCACTCCCCAACTGGACGCAACAGCCAGAGCTGCGCTGATCCGAAGCCAGGAGCCAGGAGCATCTTCTGGGTCTCCCACATGGGTGCAGGGGCCCAAGGATTTGGTGCATCTTCTACTGCTATCCCAGGCCATAGCAGAGAGCTGGATTGGAAGTAGAGCAGCTGGGTCTCGAACCGGTGTCCATATGAGATGCCGACACTGCGGGCAGCAGCTTTACCTGCTATGCCACAGCACTGCCCCCACCCGCCCTAATTTTGATTGATCTATCCCTCTGCTTTTTTATTTTTTAAGGGAATTCATTTAAATCTCTAACAACCTTTCATGGGGGCACACTTCAATATTGTAAAACAGCACTTTTCCCCACATAGCCACAAATCATTGTCATAGATAATAAAAAATAGTGAGTTTGCTAATACCACCCATACCATGTTCTCAAACATGCCGCTGTTTAATTAGTTTTTCTTGGGACTTAACTAAGATCCATACATTCCATGTGGTAGATCCGGCTCTGCTCTGTAGAAGTCTTCCCTCCTTTTAGTTTCATGCCCTTTGCTTGTTTGAAGAACTAGAATAATCTTCCCTGTGAGTTTCCCACCTGTTATATTTAGTTGATTACTTTCCATGGCATCTTTGAATTTATTTCACTGTCCCCTGTATTTCTTATAAACCGTAGTGACGGGTAGAGGCTTGAACAGGTCCAGAGTGTTCTGCTACAGTTTTCTGGCAAGAAGACCATGTGGGTGGTGCTGTTTACTTCCCATAGCACCACAGGAGCCAGCACAGGTCCGCTTGGCCTCCTTTCCCTCCCTTCAGATCCCTACCTTGCAAAGTTCCCATTTCTCCTTCACCTAATGATCTTTGCATCCACTGACGATAACTGCCTAGGCCCATGACATTTCTTTAGAGGTTATGGAAGCCGGCACCGCGGCTCACTAGGCTAATCCTCCACCTTGTGGCGCCGGCACACCGGGTTCTAGTCCCGGTCGGGGCGCCGGATTCTGTCCCGGTTGCCCCTCTTCCAGGCCAGCTCTCTGCTGTGGCCAGGGAGTGCAGTGGAGGATGGCCCAAGTGCTTGGGCCCTGCACCCCATGGGAGACCAGGATAAATACCTGGCTCCTGCCATCGGATCAGCGCGGTGCACCGGCCACAGCGCGCCGGCCGCGGCGGCCATTGGAGGGTGAACCAGCGGCAAAAAGGAAGACCTTTCTCTTCCTCTCAGTATCCACTCTGCCTGTCAAAAAATAAAAATAAAAAATAAAAAATAGAGGTTATGGGGTGATTTTCCAATTTTTTAAAAAGATTTATTTTATTTATTTGAAAGACAGAGTTACAGAGAGAAGCAGAGACAGAGAGAGAGGTCTTCCATCTGCTGGTTCACTCCCCAGATGGCCGCAACGGCTGGAGCTGTGCCGTTCCGAAGCCAGGAGCCAGGGGCTTCTTACAGGTCTCCCACATGGGTGCAGGAGCCCAAGGACTTGGGCCATCTGCCACTGCTCTCCCAGGCCATAGCAGAGAGCTGAATCAGAAGAGGAGCAGCCAGAACTAGAACCGGTGCCAATATGGGATGCTGGCGCTTCAGGCCAGGGTGTTAACCCGCCGTGCCACAGCGCCGGCCCCTGATTTTCCAATTTTTAAAGTAAGTTTTAAGTTTTTATTTAGTTTATTATTTGAGAGGCAGAGAGGCATACAGAAAGTTGCCATCCGTTGGTTCACTCCCCAGATGCCCACAACAACTGGGGCTGAGGCAGGCTGAAGCTGAGAGTGGGGAGCGGGGAGCTGGGACCCGAGTGGGAGGAACTCGCCTACCTGAGCCCTCGCCTGCTGCCTCCCAGGGTCTGCATCAGCAGGAAGCCGGCATTAGGAGTGGAGCTGGGACTTGAGCCCAGGCACTCCCGTTAGAGACAGCAGCGTCCCAGCTGGCATCCTAACTGCTGGACCCAGTGCCCAGCCCTGGTTTTCTAATGCTTTTTATTCCTTCTTCATGTATTAGCCAGACTGTAAGGGAAAACTTTACCTTTCAACTCTTTGTCTACTTGAAGGTACTCACATAGAAACGGCAGTTCACCCCTTTCCCGAAGATTAGTGGTCAAGCCTTTCTCTCTACCAATTTCTAGAATGCTTTGTGAATTGATGCCCCAGCAATCTCCAAGGCTGCCCCATGAAGGTTGTTTCACCCGTCACTGTGAACCCAGCTGTTCTCCTGGACTGGATGTGCTCGGGTCCATTGCCTGACTATTCTTTTTTTTTTTTTTTTTTTACAGGCAGAGTGGACAGTGAGAGAGAGAGAGACAGAGAGAAAGGTCTTCCTTTTGCCGTTGGTTCACCCTCCAATGGCCGCCGCAGCCAGCGCGCTGTGGCCGGCACACCGCGCTGATCTGAAGGCAGGAGCCAGGTGCTTCTCCTGGTCTCCCATGGGGTGCAGGGCCCAAGTACTTGGGCTATCCTCCACTGCACTCCCTGGCCACAGCAGAGGGCTGGCCTGGAAGAGGGGCAACTGGGACAGAATCCAGTGCCCCGACCGGGACTAGAACCCGGTGTGCCGGCGCCACAAGGTGGAGGATTAACCTAGTGAGCCACGGCACCAGCCAATTCTTTTGCTGTTTGAATTGTGCCATCTTTGGCCGACGGGAACTCCTCAGATGTGTCTGAGTCCTTTTGAAATGAACACCATAGTTGTGATAGCTTCCTTGTTTCCCTAGTACAATCCAGGGTCATTTTATACATTTCTTGCCCTGAATCTGGAATCAGCCATTTCCCAAGGAATCCTGGTTTCTTTTTGTGGGAAGTGGTATTCAGCGAAAGTGCTGTTTTACAAAACCTACATGTTATTAAAATTAAAATATCAGTACTGTTGCTAACAGTAGAAACCACTGACAGCTGTCTGAGGGTTCTTTGTGGTTCATTTTGCCCTCAGAACATTCTTTCTCATTATATGGGAATGCATAGTTCCAAATATTATGGCTTAAAGACATTTAAGTAATCCTTATTGTGATGATTATGTCACCAACCAGAAATACAATTAAATTCATTTGTTTAATTTGTTTTCAAATCCTAGGAATGTGCTTCATTTTTATTTAATTCTCTTTTTTTTAAGATTTTATTTATTTATTTGAGAGAGCTATAGACATTGAGAGGGAGAGACAGGGAGAAAGGTCTTCCATCCACTGGTTCACTCCCCAAATGGCCACAAGGTCCGGAGCTGGGCCGATCCAAAGCCAGGAGCTTCTTCTGGGTCTCCCATGCGGGTGCAGGGGCCCAAGCATCTGGGTCATCTTCCACTGCTCTCCCAGGCCATAGCAGAGAGCCAGAACGGAAGAGGAGCAGCCGGGACTAGAACCGGCACCAGGGGGCGCTGCTGGGTAGTGCTGGCTGCTCACAGTGATCCCTGTTTGCCCTTGACCTCCCCTGGTGTGGTCCACTCCTCTGGATCTGGGGGGCACCTGGGCACGCCAACCACAGAGGAGGCTCAGGAAACAGCCCCGCTCTTTCTTCCCCAGCTGGATCCTGTTTGGTGAGGAGGACTTCCAGGGGGAGCAGCACGTTCTCTCCGAGGGTGAGTTCCCCACTCTCACGGCCATGGGCTGCCTGACATCCACGGTGCTGGGCTCCCTCCGGAAGGTGCCCCTGGTGAGTAGCTCCCCCACTTCCAGGCAGCCCTGGGGGTCCCGACGGCGCCCCTGCCCTGACGCCTACTGGGTTGGTGGGTTGGATCCAGTCTTTTCAGAATCGGCCCAGATACCTGTAGCTCAGGGCCTTCAAAGCCAGTAGCATTTCCCAGATATTTGTGGGGCAGCTGCAGAGATAGGCCCTGACCCAGGCTGCCTCCCAGGAGCCCATGGTCATGCGGACGTAGAGCTCAAGGCAGAAGTGGTGCCCGGCCAGGAGGCATTGACCCTCGGGGGTAGGCGTGGGGAGACGCCAGCCCTGCCGAATGACAGCAGGTGGGAACAACCCAGAACCCACTCCGAAGCAGCACAGGTGGGCGGGGCCCGGCAGAGACCCAGAGCGAATAGTGAGTGACATCCTGGACCAGGGAAAACACGGACAGAGGTGATGCAGGCCTGTTCAGGGCCAGGCCTGTAGCACTGGGTGGCTGCCAGGCTGGGTGCCTGATGAGAGCGGCCCACAGGTGCTGAGCGAGGGGCACACGGCAGGCAGCGGTCAGGGGCTCCGCCACAGCCCTGCCAGGGGTCGCCCTTATGAGCTCCCTTTTCCAGATGTGGACACTGAGCAGTCCACAGCTGGGAAGAGGCCGCGCCAGGCTCTCCATGCAGCCCAGCTCGGGAGTCCAGCCGGGGCGGCCGCACGCTGGCTCTGCACACAGGCCTGGGTCGGGGGCCCAGCAAGTGCTCCTGCCTCAGTCCCTCTGTTAAGTGGGGCTACAACAGCACCAGCTGTCTGGGGTGCTTGAGTGGTACTGGGATCAGGGCGGCGCTGGCGCACAGTCTGGTGTGGTAAGGACCGCTCTGGTGGCCGCCGCTGGGGTTCCCAGGCTGCTGTTAGCCTGAGGATGGACAGGGGGCGACGTGGCATGGCCCCCGTTTAGCAGACAGGAGGTTTGAGGGGAAACGGGGCCGGGTCTGGCTCACAGGAAGTCCCCGAATCTGGGCTCAGGGCAGAGCGGGGCCTGAAGCGCAGACCCGGGAGTCCGGGCGTCTGCGGCCGGGGCTGCCTGGGCCTTACCCGTTCTCCACGCCCGGCCCCAGCACTTTTCAGAGCCCTCCGTGTTCCTGTACGGGCTGGAGTGCTTCGAGGGCAAAGAGATGGAGCTCACCCGGGAGGTGCGGAGCCTGCAAGCCGAGGGCTTCAACAACCACGTGCTGTCCGTGCGCGTCCAGGGGGGCGTGTGAGTGCGTCGTGGGGCGGCCCGGGGCGGGGCGAGTGGGTGGGCGGGAGATCCAGGGCCTCTGGCCCCTCCCTTCTCCCCCAGGAGGGAGCCTCCCCTCCAAGCCTGAAAAGAGAGAGGGGCTCACTGCCGGGTGGACCTCTCAGGACCCCACTTTGCCCTGCAAGCCCCAAATCTACTTCCCAGGCTCCCTCTCCCCAGTGGGGCCCTGACCCCCGGGGCGGGAGAAGAGGAGGTGGGTGGTTTTGACTTGGTGTCTGTCATCTCTCTCTGTCTCTGGCACCTGCCGGGCCCAGCTGGGTACTGTGTGAGCACAGCGACTTCCGGGGCCGCCAGTGGCTGGTGGGCAGCTGCGAGATCACCAACTGGCTGACCTACAGCGGCACCCAGAGGGTGGGCTCACTCTACCCCATCAAGCAGGTGGGTAGCACACCAAGGTGGGCGTGTCCAGGTGTGGCTGTGTGTTCCCCACGCTCAGCAGTCTGTTCTTTTGTCACGATCTTTGCAACATAGTTGGTCCTTTAAAAAAAAAAAGGAGTTATTTATTTATTTGAAAGGCAGAGTGCTAGAGAGGGGGTGGGGAGAAAGAGAGAGAGATCATCCATCTGCTGGTTCATTCCTCAATGGTTCCAACAGCCAGGGCTGGGCCGGGCAGAACCAGGAGCACGGAGCTCCTTCTGGGTCTCCCCCACACGGGCTTTCCCAGGCACATTAGCAGGGAGCTGGAGCAGAAGCAGAGCAGCTGGGGCTCGAACCAGCACTCGTATGGGATACTGGCGTCATAACCTGTGGCTTAGCGCACTGGACCACAGTGCCAGCCCCTAGGCGTTCCTCTTGAATCATTGTCTATTTTATATTTTTCTGTAAACCAACTCACTTTTGTTTACTTGATTCTTGTCCTGGGAGTCCTATCCATAGAAATCATGAGTGTCCTGGGCATGTCTGACTTATAATCGACGGTATAATAAGTATAGCACCCATGGCCTTTCAAGGATAGGGCTGTCTAATTAGGACTGAAAATCACGTCGTCTGCCTCTCCACAGTGCTGGGCGCAGCTCGCTGTGAGAGGCACCATGTTGGTACATGCAGCCCATGTGTCTGGAACATGGCTGATCTGCCTGCACCCGTGCCTGGTGTAGCAGCACAGCGTGGGCTCTGTGTGTGTGTGTGTGCGTGTGCGTGCACACACATGCCTGTCTGAGGGCTTTCTGTCCCTGTGGCGTCCCGTGTGCTCCGGAGGTGACCTCACACGTGTGTGTGTGCACGTGCGTGTTCGGTATTCAGGGCTGCTCACGCCTGTGTCCGTGACACCGTTGAGATTGTGTGTGCCTCTGTACGAGAGCACCTGTTCAGTCCTTTATTCTAGACTCTCACATGAAGAGTTGTGGAGATGATCTCCCACTCAGATGGAGAAACGAAGGCCCAAAGAAGCGGACGAGGATTTGCCCTGCAACTTTGGGCAAGTCCTGTTCCTCCATGGACCTCACCTTTAAAACGAGGAGTCTGTGGGCCCCGGGTCTGTCGGAGGCCTGGGGATGCGTCTTGTGTGCGGAACCCTAGCAACGGGGCTCGAGTGGCAGGCGCTCGGCAAACCTCAGCTGCGACTGTCACTGTTGCTACTGGCCCCTCCATCCGAGACTCCCAACTGAGCCAGGTCCAGTGTCTGCAGCCCTGGGGCCTGGCTGGGGCTGTGTGCACACGTTCTGCCTGGTGACCGTGTGCACAGCTGTGTCCTCCCTGTGGCCGATTGTGTGGATCTGTGTGTTGGTGAGGACGTATGAGTTTGAATGGCTACGCATGTGTGTGTGTTGGTGTCTTGCGTGCTGTGCCCGCTGTGCGCTGTGGCTGCCTCTCTGGATACAGAACCGTGTGCGTGTGTGTGTGTGTGTGTATGCTCTGCGTGTGGCTTCGGGATGTGTGTTCAAAAAGGGCTGATTGAGGAGCAGGGCAAGGGAAGTTTGGGGGCAGGAAGGAGGGTGTGGGAGCTTGGTGAGGGTGGAGGGGGCGTCCGTGATGGAGACCCCTGACTCTCAGCCTCTCCCCACTGCCAGCGCCGGGTTTACTTCCGCCTCTGGAACGCGGCACTGGAGGGGGTCCTGGCGGTGCCAGACCACGTGGAGGACATGAAGGCGGGCCGCGTGGTGGTCTCCGATCCCCGAGCTGGAGGCAGCTGCGTCTGGTACTACGAGGATGGGCTGCTGAAGAACCAGGTACTGATGTAGGGTGTGGGACCGGGACCCCCGCACCCTAGTGCTCGCCAGCCCACCTTGGCAAGCCCCACTCAGTAAAGAGCAGAGCTGAGTGCCGACGCCAGGGCCCCGGGCAGGGGAGCCTGCAGGCTGTACCCCTGGGCAAGCCTACCCGCCCCCCAGCCTCAGTCTACACAGCAAGTGTCCAACGAGGTGCCTCTGAGGGACCTCCCAGCTTGGGTGTCTGATGGCAGAACTGGTCAGATAATGATGGATTCACTCCGTAGACACTTCCCGAGCACCCACTACGTGCCAGGCCTTCTTCCAGGTGCCGGGAATACAGCAGTGAGAAGCCAGCATGGACTTCTGCCCTCCTGAACTTGGTGGCAGAGACAGAGAAAGGCAGAAACAAATAAGTAGACTATCTTAGCGTGTTAGAGGATGAGAAGTGCAATAGAGGAGAGAGAAGAGAAAAGCAGAAGCAAGAGGGATCAGGTGACTGCAAGGGGAGCCCTCCCTGAGATGTGACGGCTGAGGGCCGAGGGAAGAGCCTGCCAGGCAGGGGAACAGCACGTGCAAAGGCCCCGAGGTGGGAACATGCCTCCTGTAATCCTCAGACAGCGCCACGGGGGGGTCCCGTCAGCCTCCCCGCTCTGCAGGCGAGGAACTCAGAGCACAGGAGGTCAAGTCTGCTGAAGGTCAAACAGCCTATAGACACATGGACGTTTGCCTGATGCTGAAGCTTGTGCTTCCGGGGTTAATAATGAAAGACTTCCTAGAGGAGCTAATATTTACCTCTCCCTTTTAGGTTTTCTCACTTTCCTTTTTTTAAAGATTTATTTATTTATTTGAGAGGCAGAGAGAGAGAGGTCCTCCATCCGCCGGTTCACTCCCCAAATGGCCACAATGGCTGGAGCTGAGCTGATCCAAAGCCAGAAGCCAGGAGCTTCTTCCAGGTCTCCCACGTGGGTGCAGGGGCCCAAGCACTTGGGCCATCTTCTACTGCTTTCCCTGGCCATAGCAGAGAGCTGGATTGGAAGTGGAGCAGCTGGGACTTGAACAAGCGCCCATATGGGATGTCAGTGCCGCAGGCAGATGCTTAACCTACTATGCCACATTGCCGGCCCCTGTTTTCTCATTTTGAGCCCTCACAAAAGCCATCACTGGGGAATCCCCATTCCCAAGGAAGCTGAAGCTCAGTTCCTGGGTGTCTTGGGCATGGCAGAGCCCCTGTGGGGAGGAACAGTGCCTAATGACCTCCTGGACCACAGGTGGCCCCCACCATGAGCCTGCAGGTGATCGGGCCTCCCAGCCCCGGCTCCAAGGTGGTGCTCTGGGCTGAGAGCCGCCTACCACGCCAGACCTGGAGCATCAATGACTTGGGCCACATCTGCAGCCAGATGTTTGAGGGCCGGATCCTGGATGTGAAAGGTAACCTGGGCTGTGCATGGCGGGGAGGGGCTGAGGGCCTTTGTGTCCCCCAGCTCTCTCTAAGCATCTCTTTATCTCCCTGCAGGTGGCCGGGGTTACGACCGGGACCACGTGGTGCTGTGGGAGCCAGCCAAGGACAGGGCCTCGCAGATCTGGACGGTGCATGTGCTCTGAAGCCCGGGGGTTTCTGCTGGGATGAAATGTTTTTATAGAACTTTTGTTGGAACATAAGCTATTTTGTAATATGCTGCCAGGTGTCCTTGTCACCATGCACCTTGATATTTGGGGGCCAGGGCAGCCATGTGTTCATTTGGTCCCCCTCCGCCCCAGTCCTGCTGCTTCCTTTTCTGCTGGGTTGAGGCTCAGGTGTAAGACTTCTCTCTGCCACCAGAGGGAGCGCTGGGACCAGCCCGGTGGCGGGTGTGGTGCCTGATGTGGTTCCGGGAAGGCTATGTACTGAGCCCCTGTGCTGGGGTGTGGAGACACAATTAGGAACCAGGTGTGCTGGGCCCCGCCCTTGGGAGCTCGCAGTCCAGTGGAGGGTTCCCACGGCCAGGGTGATAGAATCAATGACAGGGCAGCTGTGATGTTCCCGGCCAGGCTGGGGGTGACCCGGGAAGAGACAAGTCCAGGGGTGCAGGCTTAGCAGCTCAGTGGGGGCACAGCAGGTGGACAAGAGGGAGCTGCACCCCTCACCCTGCAAGGCGTGGCCCCAGAGCTCCTCCCTACTTCCCCCACCTGGTCTCCAAGCCTAGAGGTCTGTCCTCAGTTATTCAGGGAAGAATCGTCAGGGGGTCTGGGCCCAGAGCCGGCTGAGAGGGGGCAGGACTAGGGGTGGAGGAGCTCCCGCAGGGCCCGGACCCTCACCAAGCAGCTCCTTCTCAGCTCGCTGGCTGGGGTCCTCCAGGAGGAGACAGGGGTGGGAAGGGTCCGTGGGGGCTGCCTTAGGGTTTGCTTCTGGCTCCCACACTGACCCCTCAAGGCATGGAGGGCAGCTCCTTGTGCTTCCTGCCTTCCTGGTGCATGGGTGGGTTGGATCCCTCTCCACCCCACAGTGGGCAGAGAGCTGGTTTCCGGGGACCCCCCAAGGCTGCGGTATGGACAGGTTTGGTACTGGGGACTTCCCTGAATCTGTCATTCTGAGGACACCCGCATACCAGGGTACGGGGCTCTCTTGGGGGGAGGGCATGTTCAGGGTGGTGGGCCCTGGGGCCATCAGGGGCAGGTGAAGCAAAAGAATCCTACAGGGGTGGTGAGGATGGCTGGTTCCTACCCGCTCCTGCATGGGACTTTGGGGTGAGGCTGCATAGGGCTGGGGCTCCCTGGTGCTGCTGCATCCCTGGCTCTTGGGGCCCAGTGATGTCCAGGGACCACACTGCAGGAGGTTCACGTACAAGATAGCTTTATTGACCTTGGCTGTGGAGTGCCGGCGCCACCCCCATTTCCACACGCTGGAGCTCTCAGATTGAGGGGCGGGATTCTCCGCCTGCCAGGCTGGGGCAGGTGGTCCCTCAGCTGAAGTAGAAGAGGTGGAGGAGAGCGTTGGTCAGGAAGAGAAGGAAACAGCCGCCCACTGCACCTGCGCCTGCGCCTGCGCGGCTGATTGGGTGGGAGGTATGGGTTATGTTCTGGTTTCCCAAGACTCCGGTTTGGATCTGCAAGAGAAGCAGCAGGGACAGTTCAGGGGAGGGGGCGCTTGAATCTCCCGGCCCCTTCCCTACCCTCCGCGGACCCCGCCTCAGGCCCCTGGGGTCGCTGCTCCTTCTGACCCTGGCAGGGATGCAGAGGGGAGAGGCCTTTCATCTCTCCCAGGCCACCAGCTCCTCCAGCACCGAGGTAGCCGGGGGAGCCCTGGCCCTTGAACTTCATGGCCCTGCAAGGAGCTGAGCCTCAGTTTCCTCCTCTTCTGAATGACCCGGGTGGGGGTCACATGGGACGGGCTGGGTGAACAGGCACCCAGCAGGCCAGATCAAGCCACGGCTGCTCCTGGGTAGACTAGCCCCCCGGGGCGCCCGAGGAGCCACACAGCTGCTTTCTTTGAAGCTGCAGGCTTCTGTGCAGGGGGCCGGGGAGGGGGCCCCAGCCACGCGCTGAGCCAGGGCAGGTGCCACTGGAACATTTCCTGGTGCCCTCCCAAAGGGGCCACTTCCCCGGCTCCCTGCGGGTCGACGCCACCCGCCATCCCTCCCGCAGGCCGCTGCCTTCCCAAGCCTCTTCATTCGCCATCGTTCCCCGGCACCTGTGAGTGTTCCCCAGGTGGACACAGGCTGCTGGCCAGCGGCAGCCCTCCAGGGAGCTCGCCACAGCCGGAAGGGCAGGAGGGCTGGGCCGCCAGGCCTCCTGAGGCCAGACTCCCCTGTGGGGTGCCCGCAGCCTCGGCTCCCTGCAGAAGGCTGGGTCCCAGGAGCTGCGTTCCCACCCTGCCATGCTGGGCAGTCCTGGCCATGGTGCCAGGGGCTCAGGGGGAGCAGCTCTTACCTGAGCCATAACGAGGAGGCTGACGGTGAGGAGGAGAAGGAAGCCATTCATCATGGCGGGGTCTCGGTGGTCCTGGTGGCAGCAGCTTTCAGAGATGCGCTCAGGGCTTCTGCACTCGCCTTTGGGCTTGGCTGCTTTTGAACCAGGAGGCAGGACTGGCGGGGCGGGGCTGGGTAGGGAAGGAAGGAGGGCTTAGGGGCGGAAAAGGACGTTGCTTCCTTCCTATCAGCCACCAGGCCCAAGGCCCTGGGCAGATGACTTCTGGAAAGGGAGGGAGCCACGTCCCCCAGCACTGGCCAGGGGGCAGCTGTGGGGCGAGAGATCAGGCCTTGGGCTGGGAAATCCTGCAGCCCGGGCATTGGATCTTGGTTTGTTCACTTACCAACCTGAGCCTTTAGCCAGAAACCGCACCTGTCTGAGTCTCTAGCAAAAGAACTCTGGGGAGTTGAGGGCAATAATCGCCCTTTTAAAAAGAACCAAAGCATAGTAAACCTTATAGAAATAGTTTGTGGCTTTGGGTTTTTTGGTGTATTTTTAAAGAAGATGGTGGCAGGGGATCGGAGCTGAAAGTAAGGTTGGGTTTGATGTAGTTTTCAGGATGAGGGTGCAGATGGCCCCCCAGGCTTTGACCAGAAGCTTGGGCATATTTAGATTGAGGAAGCGGTGATAGTTTTCTCTGAGAACAATGGTGCACTGGACTAGTCGGGCAGGAAATAGGCGGAGTCCAGGGAAAGCAGCAAGAGAGAGAAATTTAAAACAAAACCAAGGCGCTGACACTGAGATGCAGCAGGTTGGGCCACCACCTGTGATGCAAGCATCCCACATGTGTGCAGGTTCAAGTCCTGGCTGCTCCACTTGGGATCCAGCTCCCTGCTTGTGCACCTAGGAAAGCAGCGGAGGATGACCCGAGTACTTGGGTCCCCATTATTCATGTGGGAGACCCGGATGAGTTCCAGGCTCCTGGCTTCAGCCTGGCCCAGCCCTCGCTGTTGCAGCCATTTGGGAGTGAGCAGAGGATGGAAGGCCTTTCCCTGTCTCTTTCTTTCAAATAAATAAGTAATTAAAAAAAAAAAAGCTAAAACTGTTGAACTGACTTACTGGTCTTAAGATGCCAGTCCAGAAAGCAGCTGGCTCACAGACGGCCTACCTGCACGTGTGCGATAAACTGAGCCAAAGCCCAGGAGAGAGCCTGTGTCAGAACCCCTGGCCGGAGTCTCCCTGGCAGCGACTCCCACTGCCCTCTCTGAAAATGTGTCTAAGTGACCGGTCCAAAGGAGACGCGGGCCCCAAAGGCGCTCACCTGTGTCTGCTCCCCGGCCTGCAGCAGCAGCAGCTTCCCGGTGGCCCAGGGTTGGTGGGGGAGGAGTCCCTGAGCTCAGTCCTGGACCCTTGGCGCACTTCCTGGAGCCCGCTCGCTGCCCCTCCCCCAAGGAAGCCCCCCTTGCTTGCCTGCCCCTGCGCTCTCCAGGCACGTGGCCTTCATACCCACACCACTGGTGTCAGGAGGACGGGGGTTAGCTGGGCCAGTTCCTGCTTTCAAAGGAGAAGATGGAAACAGATCCTTTCTGAAATTTCTCAAGACCTGGTGTTTTGTGGTTCGGGTAAAGAAACCAGCAGATGAGTTGCTTGTGTGAATGTAGGACAGGTGGGAGGGGAGCTCCCATAGGCACAGGGACAAGCGGGCGGCCACAGAGCAGTGAACGGGGCCTGGGCTAGGGGCGGGGCTGCCTGGGTGCTGTGCCCTTCTGCACCTGTTGTCTTTATAACCACGGTGATGCCGTGCAGGACGGTTAACGAGATTCCCACTTGATGAAGCTGAAGCTTAAATGTTAAAAAAAAAATGCATTTATTTATTTGAAATGCAGAGTTACAGAGAGAGAGGGAGAAGATAGAGGTCTTCCATCCGCTGATCCACTCTGTAAATGGTCACAACACTGACCCCACCCCCAATGTTTTTAGAAAATAGACCTATTTGAAGGGTCAGCACTGTGGTGCAGCAGGTTAATCCTCCTCCTGCATTGTCAGCATCCCATATGGGTCCTGGTTCGAGTCCCAGCTGCTCCACTTCTGATCCAGCTCCCCGCTAATGAGGTTGGGAAAGCAGTGGAAGATGACCCAAGTCCTTGGGCCCCTGCACCCGTGTGGGAGACCCAGAAGAAGCTCCTGGCCCCTGACTTCAGCCTGGCCCAGACTTGGCTGTTGTGGCCATTTGGGGAGTGAACCAGAGGATGGAAGACCTCTCTCTCTCTCTTTCTCTCTCTCTCTGTCTCCTCTCTGTTTCTGTAACTTTACCTTTCAAACAAATAAGTAAATAATCTGTTTTTAAAAATGTATCTATTAGAAATCCCATCTGCTCTCTCACTCCCCAGGTGCCTGCAACAGCCAGGAAGGGAAGCCAGGAGCTGGAACTCAGTGCAGTCTCCCCACGTGGGCGGCAGGATCCCAACTTTGTGCCAACACTGCCTCCTCCCAAGGGCAGCATGAATGGGGAGCTGGAGTCAGGAGCCCACGCTGGGAGTCAACCCAGGCATTCCCACGTGGCAAGAGGGATGCTCACCAGTGTCTTCACTGGGAGGCCCCGTTAGGCTTAGGTAGTAAGTGCTTTGTCCAAGGTCATAAATGGTAAAGGAATCCCCCCTGAACCTGAGTCCAGCTGTGTCCGGAGTCACACAGAGCCATGTATGCAACGTCTAGAGCTACCCTGTGATTCCTGGTTAAGAAATCCACTGGAGGGGCCAGCGCTGGGCGCAGCGGGTTAACGCCCTGGCCTGAAGCGCCAGCATCCCATATGGGCACTGGTTCAAGACCCGGCTGCTCCACTTCCGATCCAGCTCTCTGCTATGGCCTCGGAAAGCAGTGGAGGATGGCCCAAGTGCTTGGGCCCCTGCACCCGTGTGGGAGACCTGGAAGAAGCTCGCTCGTGCGCTCTCTCTCTCTCTCTCTCTGCCACTTCTCTCTCTGTGTAACTCTGACTTTCAAATAAATAAATCTTAGAAAGAAAAAAAAAGAAGAAATCCACTGGATTGGGGCCAGTGCTGTGGCATAGTAGGTTGAGCCTCTGCCTACGGTGCCAGCATCCCATATGGTTGCTGGCATCACATATGGGCACCAGTTGTGGCGTAGTAGGGAGACTTGGAAGAAGCTCCTGCTTCCTGGCTTCAGATCGGCCCAGCTTCAGCCATTGTGGCCATTTGGGGATTGAACTAGCAGATGAAAGACTTTTCTCTCTCTCTGTCTCTCCCTCACTTTGTCTGTAACTCTGCCTTTCAAATAAGTAAATAAATTTAACAAAAATAAACAAATAAATAAAGAGAGGCTGGTGCTGTGGTGTAGTGGGTAAAGCCTCCGCCTGCAGCACTGGCATCCCATATGGGTGCTGGTTTGAGACCCAGCTGCTCCACTTCCGATCCAGCTCTCTGCTATGGCCTGGGAAAGTAGTGGAAGATGGCCCAAGTCCTTAGGCCCCTGCATCCGCGTGGGGGACCCGGAAGAAGCTCCTGGCTCCTGGCTTTGGATCAGCGCAGCTCTGGCCTTTGCGGCCAACTAGGGAGCGAACCAGGGGTTGGAAGACCTCTCTCTCTCTCTCTCTCTCTCTCTGCCTCTCCTTTTCTCTCTGTGTAACTCTGACTTTCAAGTAAAATAAATAAATCTTTAAAAAATTTAAAAATTATATAAAAAAGGAAAGTAAGATGGTAACTCAGTGGATTCCCTGTTCTCTGGTTCCCCTGACCCAGCTGTGGGCTTTGCAGCCCAGCCACCTGGGTGCACTCCCCTGCTTGCTATTTTGAGCCTCATTTGCATGCCAGACTGCAAAGGGAAATCCCCTCTCCCGTCCCTCCTACCTAGGAGGAGCCTCAGGGGGCCTGAGGGACCTGGAGCTCTTGGCTGAGGCTGAGGCAAGAGAAAAGAAAGGAGACTGGTCCCAGAAAGCCGGAGCGGAGGGGAGGTGGGGGAGGGAAGCCCGAAGAACCTGCAGCCATGCTGCCCCTCCGGCTCCTGGGCGGCCTTTGGTGGACCTGTGAGGCCGGGTGACTGGGGAGCTCACGGGAGGATGGTGCAAGCCCAAGACTTCTCTGTCACACCACGCGGTCCCCTCCCCGCCCCGCCACTGGGGAAGGGGCAGCTAGATGGGCCAAGCCCAGGGCTCAGATGTGGCTGTTCTGTGTGCAAGGGTGCCTGTGTTGATCAATGCTTTCCTTGTCACATCCTGAGGCTGAGCTGCGGGGGCGGGGCGGGAGGGGCACCCGAGGGTGCTGCAAGGGTGTTTTGTTGTTGTTTTTGATTAACCTATTTATTTGAAAGTCAGTGAGGGACAGAGATCTCCTATCTGATGGTTTATTCCCCCAAATTCCTTCAACAGCTGGAGCTGGGTCAGGCTAAAGCCAAGACAGGGCTCCCACATCGGGGGTGGGGACTCAAGTACTTGAGCCATCACTTGCTGCCTCCCAGGGTGTGCATTAGCAGGAAGTTGGGATTGGAAATGGAGCCAGGACATGAACCTAGGCACTGAAATGTGGCATGTGGGCATCCTAAGTGGAGGCTTAACACTTGCACCAAGTGCCACCCTATGCAGGGGTTTTTAAGGGTCTTTAGGACTTGGGGCATGGAGGGGCTTCTGGACTATTTCAGTACCTGGGAAAGGAAGTTGGAGCTGCAAATCTGTCTTTCTTCTTCTTTTTAAAAAAGATTTATTTACTTATTTGAAAGGCGGAGAGAGAGAGAGAGAGAGAGAGAGAAAGATCTCGGATCCAAATGTCACTCCCCAAATGCCCTCAACAGCCAGGGCCAGATCGGGCTGAAGCCAGGAGCCAGGTGTTTCATCCGGGTCTCCCACGTGGGACCCAAGTACTCGGGCCACTCTCTGCTGCCTTCCCAGGCACACAGTCCAGGCGGGAAGTCGAAGCAGAGGCAGAGCAGCTGGGCTTGAACAGGCACTCCAGTATGGTGTGTGGGTGTCCCAAGCGGCAGCTTAATCCACTGTACCACAACACCTGCCCCTCCAACCTTGGCTTCTTCTGCCTCCCAAGAAGTTATGTTTTGTCTTGATGACATGTGGATAGACAGAATCCTGACCACGAAGCATAGAGAGCCCTGAGAAACCTCCATTTTACAGATGGGAAAATTGAGGGCCCAGGGAAGGGCTAGCATGCTGGGGCTAGCATGGAGAGCGCCCAGTTCCTGTGGCTCATTGTACACCTTCCCCAAACCTGACTTGTGAACCTTGACTCACACACTGGGAAGGCCCCGTGCACACCTCTGCCACCCTCATGGGAGGTGCAGAGCTGCCTCTGTTGTGTGACAGTCAAGGCCCCAGCATCCTGTCTTGGGTTCTGTAACTTCCCTTCTCCGCTCCCACGCGTGACACCTCATCCCAGCCCTCAGCCACACCCAGCTGGCATCTTCCCAGCTATTTTACCCCCCCCCTTCATGATCCATCAAAGAAGCCCCTCCTCAGGGAGACTTCCCCTAAGAAACCCCCTGGGAGACGGGGACCGTGTTCCTCAGTGTTGCGCGAGTCCCTTCTGCCCACCTCTGCTCTGAAGACTGTGTCTGCTAAGACATGGACTGGCCACCTTTCAAACCCAGCACAGCACGGAACGTGGTGCAGCAGCCGGCACTGCGGTGTGATGAGCTGAGCTGCAGCCTACAATCCAGCATCCCATGTGAGCACCGGCTAATGTTTCCGATCCAACTCCCTGCCAATGTGCCTGGAAAAGCAGCAGAAGGTGGCCCGAGTGCTTGGGCCCCTGCCACCCACATGGGAGATCTTGATGGAGTTCCAGGCTCCTGGTTTTGTCCTGGACCAACTTCAGCTATTGCAGCCATTTGGGGAGTGAATCAGCAGATGGAAGCCCTCTCTCTCTGTCTCTCTCTCTCCCTCTGTCTGTAACTCTACCCTTCAAATAAATACATAAATAAATCTTTTTTTTTTTTTTTGACAGTGGACAGTGGACAGTGAGAGAGAGACAGAGAGAAAGGTCTTCCTTTTTGCCATTGGTTCACCCTCCAATGGCCGCCACGGCCGGCGCACCACGCTGATCCGATGGCAGGAGCCAGGCACTTATCCTGGTCTCCCATGGGGTGCAGGGCCCAAGCACTTGGGCCATCCTCCACTGCACTCCCTGGCCACAGCAGAGAGCTGGCCTGGAAGAGGGGCAACCGGGACAGAATCCGGCGCCCCGACCGGGACTAGAACCCGGTGTGCTGGTGCCGCAGGTGGAGGATTAGCCTATTGAGCCGTGGCGCCGGCCCATAAATAAATCTTTAAAATGCATGCTCTAGCATCAGTGTCAGGAGCCATGAACAAATGAGTGAAGGAAGGCGCCCACTCCACCTGCAAGGCTCTGTGCCGGCACCCACTCACTCGTGTTTACTATGGGCAAAGGCAGAGTGCGTACGGAAGGGCTATGCAGAGAAGAGTGAAGGGCCATCATTTTCTCCTAGAAGTACTCCCCACTTCCAGAAGAGACAGCTACGAAACTAAGCAGAGCTTTCTATTAATTTAGGGACTAAGGGGAGAAAAACAGTATTCAAGGTCCCATAAGAATGGGGAACCTTGACAAACCCACCCCACAAGGGTGCAGCTATGAAGGGTAACACTCGAGTTACAGAGAACAGGAAACAGCCCAGCCCCCACTGAAAATGAAGACCACATGACCAAAATAAAACAAAAAATAAGACAAACAACAGATAATACAGTTACACAGAAATCCAGATAAAAGAATTATCAGTCTTCCAAATAACTGTGCTTAATAGATTCAAAGATGTAGAAGAAAAGACTGAGAACTGGAAACTAAAGAACTAAGTAGTAATTCTAGAACTGAGAAACGCAATCGTAGAAATTTAAAGTTCAACAGACAAGTTTAACATTAGAATGGGCACAACTGGAGAGAGAATTAGTGAAATGAAAGAATGATCACAAGCAAATATGATTTATTTTTAATTTTATGTTATTTTTATTTATTTATTTTTTTGACAGGCAGAGTTAGACAGTGAGAGAGACAGAGAGAAAGGTCTTCCTTCTGTTGGTTCACCCCCCAAGTGGCCGCTACGGCCGGCGCTGCGCCGATCCAAAGCCAGGAGCCAGGTGCCGCGTCCTTTCTCTTCATTCTCTCTTCCTCAGACTGGATGACACGTTGAACTTTCTGCAAGTCTTTTGATTCTTTTCCTCTGCCAATTCAAACCTATTATCGGGTCATACTTTTTGATTGTAGAACTTCTGTTCGGCTCTTTAAAAACACACATTTCTATTTATGATGCGCTCTCTCTGGTGAGGGGGATTTGTATGAACTCTGTGAACCCGTTTGTAAGCACTCACTTGCAGCCTCAGGGCCTCCTCCTCACGTCCTGTTTACAACTGGATAGCACAGATGGCGTCTCTGCAGCCCGGGACCCGACCCCTTCCTCACCAGACAACCGCCCTCGCTGTTGGTTTCCTGGCTCCCGGCTCCAGGTTCTTGCTTCCCGGGGCTCACCCCAGCTGGCCAGGGTTTAATGGCCCCTAATTACCAGCCAGGAGGCTGCCTTACGTGCTGTGAGGGAAGCCTCCATCTTTGATCAAGGGAAGGCGAGGTGGAAGCCAGCCTCGGTTTTCCCTCAGCTTGTGTTGTAGGGGCGTAGATGTGTTTTAGAGCACACCGTATTTTTTTAAAAAGATTTATTTATTTATTTATTTGAAAGGCAGAGTTATAGAGAAGCAGAGAGAGAGAGAGAGAGAGAGAGAGAAAGAGAGAGAGGTTCACTCTCTTGTCAAAAAAAATTTATTTATTTGAAAGGCAAAGAGAGAGAGAGAGACAGAGAGAAAGAGAATCTCCCATCCGCTGGTTCACTCCCCACATGGCTACAACGGCTGGAGCTGTGCCAATCCGAAGCCAGGAGCCAGGAGCTTCTTCCAGGTCTCCTATGCGGGTGCAGGGGCCCAAGGACTTGGGCCATCTTCTACTGCTTTCCCAGGCCACTGCAGAGAGCTGGATCAGAAGAAGTGCAGCTGGGACTAGAACCGGTGTCCATATGGGATGCCAGTGCTGCAGGCGGAGGCTTTACCCGCTATGCCACAGTGCTGGCCCCACACAACATATTTATTAAGTGCCTACTGTGTGCTGCCGTGGGGAGAGAGCACTCAGCCTGAGTCAAGGTACTGCTTGGGATGTGCCTGCGTTCCACATCGGAGTGCCTGGGGTGGAGTCTGGGCTCCATCTCCAATTCCAGAATTTCTGCTTATGTGCACCCGGGAGGCAGCAGCTAATGGTGCCAGCTGGGCTCTTCCCACCCACGTGGGAGACCCTGATGCAGCTGCTGGCTCCTGGCTTTGGCCTGGGCTGTTGCAGGCATTTGGGGGAGTGAATCAGTAGATGGGAGATACATCTGCTCTCTCAAATAAATCAAAAATTTTGGGGTGGGAGGGGCTGGTGCTACGGCATAGTAGGCTAAGCCACCACCTGCAGTGCTGGTTTCTGTCCCAGCTGCCCCTCTTCTGATACACTGCTGTGGCCTGGGAAAGCAGCAGAAGATAGCTCAAGTGCTTGGGCCCCTGTACCTGCGTGGTTGACCTGGAGGAAGCTCCAGGCTCCTGGCTCCAGGTTTCGGATAGGCTCAGCTTCGGCTGTTGTGCCCGTCTGGGGAGTGGCCCAGCAGATGGAAGACCATTTTGTTTCTCCCTCTCTCTGTAACTCTACCTCTCAAATAAATAAATACATATTAAAAATTTTTTGGGAAAAATTGTGACAATGGAAGCAGCGCCTTCACAGTGTAGAGTGCATAGTTCTGCAGGGAGGGAGTGGGAGCGAACCAGAGACAATCTGCAGCAGGAAATCGCAAGCTGGTTCTTAACGACGGAGTGGGATTCTCCCACTTATCAGAGGCAGAGGAGCCTGTTTCCATCGGAAGGAGAGGCCAGAACTTGAGGAAGAGTGTGATGGCTCCTGGAACACGAGAAGGGGAGAGGGCAGGACTCAAAATGTGAGGGCTCCAAATGCCATCTAAGATGGGAGGGATGTGGCTGGAGAGGAGGAGGAGGTGAGAGAGACAAACTTGTATTCTGGAGGCTGGTGCTGTAGTGTTGTAGCCTAAGCCTCCGTTTGTGGCACCGGCATCCCAAATGGGCACTGGTTCAAGCCCCAGGTGCTCCACTTCCGATTCCGCTCCCTGCAAATGCCTGGGAAAGCGGTGGAAGACGGCCTGAATGCTTGGGCCCCTGAACCCACGTGGGAGACCCAGAAGAAGCTCTTGGCTCCTGGCTTCAGATCGGCACAGCTCTGGCGGTTGCTGCCATGTGGGGAGTGAACCAGTGGATGGAAGACCTCCCCCTCTCTCTGTAACTCCGCCTCTCAAATAAATAAATCTTTCTAAAAAACCAAACTTGCGTTCTGAAGGAATCTATGGCTCTTCTTACTTTTCCCTAGAGCTACCAGAACCCAGAGTCCCAGCAAATCAAGGTTGGAAGGCTCAAGAGGCGATGACGATGACAGCAGGAAATGCTTTATGAAAACGTCCTTCTCTTACGATGCAAGTTCTCATTTAACGTCACAGCAAACCTGCGGGGTGGTTTTCATCCCCATTTTACAGGTAGGGATGGGCGTCAGGACTCCTGGCACCAAAGCCCATACTCAGCTAGACGGCCTCCGATGGCCCTGGTGACATAATGTAATCTGATTTGTAAAACCTAAATTTTACAGAGGCGGCTCTGGGAGGGCGAGGGGAGTGCCTGACCCCACTCTTACGCAGAGGAACTAGCATTTGAGCCTCTGCAGGGCGCCGTCTGGTCGAGAAAGAAACGTTTAGGGGGCCAGCACTGTGGCACAGAGGTGAAGCCTCCCCCTGCAGTGCTGTCATCCATGTGGGCGCCCCTTGGTCCAGCTGCCCCACGTGCCATCCAGCTCTCTGCTAAGGCCTGGGAAAGCAGTGGAGGATGGCGCCAGTACTTCGGCCTCTGCACCCACGTGGGAGACCTGGAAGAAGATCCTGGCTCCTGGCTTCCATCAGCAGTTGTGGCCATTTGGGGAGTGAACCAGTGGATGGAAGACTTCTCTAACTCCACCTGTCACATAAATCAATAAATCTTTAAATTAAAAAAAAAATAAAGAAAAGAAAGAAACGTTTATGAAGCACCTGCTTCGTTTGACTTCATTCTCAAAACAGCCCCTTCGAAGTACTGCGCCGATCTCTGGGAAGCCAGAGACTCAGAGGGAGAAGGAATTCTCCCCAAGATCAATTCAGCACAGTAATGGCGCCGTGGAGGTCACACAGTTAGCTCAGAGGCTTCCAGCAGTTTCGTTAACCGAACCCCAGGTTCTCCCCACGCGGCGTCTCCGGAGCAGCACCTAGGAGCGAGCACCATTTCCGCAGACCCGAAGCGGCTCATCCAAGCGGTGCATTCTGGGATTTTTAGTGTTTCCCCCCCCCCCCGCCAACCCAGAGAGGCTAGACCAGCGGGCCAATAGCATTCGAGCACCGGCGACTGAACCCGCCTTCGCTGCCTGCTGGTTGTTCAGAGACCCTTTCGAAGTAGCCAATGAGAAGTGAAGGGGTCTTGGTCGCCAGGGAAACCGCGTGACAACAAGATGGCGGCGCCGCGGGACGGCTCCTTGGCCCTGCGTGGTGAGTCCCGGCCCAAGGCCTTCCTGCGTCAGGAGACCCCTACGCAGACCCGAGCTCTCGCTCCGAGAGCCCCGAGGGCCCTCTAGCCCCGCGGGGTTGCCCCACTCCCAGCAGGCGTCCTGCGTCCCGGGAGCGGATTGGGGGCCACGCTTACGGCGACTACGTGTGGAAGCGGGAGGAGGCAACGCGGCCGCCTGGGAAGGGTTAAGCCGTGATGGACGTGCATTTTCCACTGGGATTAGGGAGTGGAGGCGAAAGACCGGCAGGCCCTAGGGCCTGGGGGTGACGGAGGACACTGTCAGTCATGCACGGTACTGAGTTCTGTCCCCAGCATGTCGAGGCGCCGAACATAGCTTTACCCAGAAATTCCGGTCCGAAGGGGAAGACAGCGCCTGCAAGCCCGAGAGCGAAGCGGGGGAGACAGGGCTGTGTCCCCAGGAAGCCCCAAGCTTGGGCGGGAGACGACACGGCCGTGCCCTTGGGAGCCCGCAGACTGATGGGGAGACCCAGTGTTTGCTCGCGGGGGGTCTTTTGTAATCCACATGAAGATGGATCCAGACACCGGGCTGGCGGCCAGCGGCCACCACCGTGACAGCCCCCGGCCAGTGAGCGTCCCACCAGGGTGACCGACAGTGGGCGACACTCCAGGGCTTGGTAACGGATGGGATTTTGTGGTTGGATGATGGGGTCCCACAACAAGGGTGGAATTCCTTTTTTAAAGCGATTAACGGCTTTACTGAAATTCACCCCTTTACTGTGTGAACGTCAGTCACTTTGGAATACTTTAGTCTGCACAGCGGGCCTTTTGTATCTCCAAGGTGTGGACGTCTTTTTCTCCGTTAGTGTTCCCTAAGCAACGGGGTGTAACATTCCAGTCACCCGCTACATAGGGCGTTTTGGCTAATGACAGGCCACATAGACAAGGGTGTTCCCGTAAGATTGTATTGGCGCTGAGAAGATCCTACCGCCTAGTGACATGGTAACCATGGTAACATCATGGGCACCACGTCCTCACAGTCTTTGTGGTGATGCCAGCGCTGCCGCCATATAAAGGCATAGCAGGTGCAACTATGTACAGTAAGTACTGCTTGATCACGATAATAAATGACTGCTACTGGTGTATGTGTTTCAGAGCGTACTCCTACTTCTTAAATTTAAAAGTTAACTGTGAAACAGCTTCAGGCAAGTCCTTCGGGAGGTGTTGGGCGCAGGCATGGTTGTCGAGGGAGATGACAGCTCCATGGTGCTATCACCCAGAAGCCCTGGAGAGGGGAGACAGTGACGCTGATGGCGCTCACCCTGCATGGGCCTACACAAATGGGTGTGTTTTGTCTGAGTTTTTAGCCACAACTCATGGTTTTGTTTTGTTTTGTTTTGTTTTTTGACAGGCAGAGATAGACAGTGAGAGAGAGAGACAGAGAGAAAGGTCTTCTTTTTTCTGTTGGTTCACCCCCCAAGTGGCCGCTACAGCCGGTGCGTTGTGGCTGGTGCACTGCGCTGATCCGAAGCCAGGAGTCAGGCGTCTCCTCCTGGTCTCCCATGGGGTGCAGGGCCCAAGCACTTGGGCCATCCTCCACTGCCTTCCCGGGCCACAGCAGAGAGCTGGCCTGGAAGAGGAGCAACTGGGATAGAATCCGGCGCCCCAACCAGGACTAGAAACTGGGGTGCCGACTCCACAGGCGGAGGATTAGCTTAGTGAGCTGCGGCGCCGGCCCCCACAACTCATTTTTTAAGCGCTTCCTTTGGGCTTGGCATAGGGTTGGGTGCTTTATGTTATCCGCATCCCTGCCTGGCTGTCACTGTTACTGCTATCCCCATTTTACAACAAAGGAAACAGGTGCAGCTTGTGCCAGGGGGTGACAGAACCTGTCCAGAGCCCAAGTTCTTTTTCCCTTCTTTATTTGAGAGGCAGAGAGAGAAAGAGGGGACTCCCGTTCACTGGTTCTCTTCCCAAATACCTGTGACAGGCAGGGCGGAGCTAGGGCTGAAGCTGAGAACCTGGAACTCAATCCAGGTGTCTCATGTTGGAGGCAGGAACCCAGTTCCTTGAGCCATCACTGCTGCTTCCCAGGGAGCCAGAGCCCAGAAGCAAACCCAGGCACTCCAGTGTGGGAAGTAGGGACCCTGGCCTCTAGGCTAAATGCCCACTCCAGGGCCCACAGTCCAGACTTTTGTTTTTAGTCATAGTTTTAATGATTTTGTGGCTTTTCAAAAAATTTTATTTATTTATTTGCAAGAGTTACACAGAGAAAGGGAGAGAGAGAGAGAGAGGTCTTCCATCCATGGTTCACTTGCCAGGCAGCTGCAGTAGCCAGGTGTGGGCCAGGTTGAAGCCAGGAGCCTCCTCTGGGTCTCTTGTGTGGGTGACAGGGGCTCAAACACACAGGCCATCCTCCACTGTTCCTCCCAGGCCACCAGCAGGGAGCTGAATCAGAAGTGGACCAGCTGAGACACAAACTGGTGCCCACATGGGACGCCAGCATTGCAGGCGTCAACTCTACTTGCTATACCACAAGCCAGCCCCAGAGCCCAGACTTCTTTGTTTGTTGGTTTTGTTTTTAAGGTTTATTTAGTGGGGCCCGCATTGTGGCGTAACAGGTTAAGCCTCCACCTGCGATGTTGGCATCCTATATGGATGCCAGTTCGAGACAAGACTGCCCCACTTCCAGTCCAGCTTCCTGCTAATGTGCCTGGGAAAGCAACAGAAGATGGCTCAAGTCCTTGGGCCCTTGCACCCGTATGAGAGATCTGGAAGAAGTTCCTGACTCCTGGCTTTGGCCTGGCCTAGTCCCAGTTGTTGTGGCTAACTGGGGAGTGAACCAGTGGATGGAAGATGTCTCTTTCTCTCTCTCAAGCTCTGTCTTTCAAGGAAATAAAAAAATCTTAAAAAAAAAAAAAAGATTTATTTGATAGGTAGAGTTAGAGAGAGGAAGAGACAGAGAGAGATCTTCCATTCACTGGTTAACTCCCCAAATGACTGCAATGGCTGGAGTTGAACTGATCCAAAGCCAGGAGCCAGGAGCTTCTTCCAGGTCTCTCATGTGGGAGCAGGCATCCAAGCACTTGAGCCATCCTCTGCTGCTTTCCCAGGGGCATTGGCAGTGAGCTGGATGGGAAGTAGAGCAGCCCGGTCTTGAACCAGCGCCCATATGGGATGCCATTGCCACAGACAGCAGCTTTACCTGCTGCGCCACAGTGCCAGTCCTGAACCCAGACTCTTCAGCTCCATATCACAGGATTCTTGACTGAATCTTGCCTTTGGGCTGCCCTCCTGGCTCTGAGAAGTCAGGGTTCTGGTCAGAGGGGAGAAGCCTGGGCTTGGTGTTGGCAGCCGGCCGAAAAGATGCTCAAAAACCCCGCCTCCTGCGTGGTCTTGTGCCCTGGCTCTCAGCTGGGGAAGTCCCAGATCTCTGACCCATCCCTGTATCGCCAGTCCACCTCTGCACCCTTCCCTGGCCCCGCCAGGCCAGAGCTCTCCAGTGTCAGGGCAGAGAGCCAGACGCCTCTACGGGGCCTTGGCAGGAGGCGAGGGCCAGGCTCCCCGGACAGTGCTCCCTCTTAGGAAGGAGAACCAGAGAGGAGGAAGTTGTAGGCAGAAGCTCAGGGGCTGACTTCTCTCTCTCCCCCTCAGGGGGTTCCTGACAGGACCTAGCAGAACTATGAGCTCACCTTTGGCCTCCCTGAGCAAGACCCGGAAAGTACCCCTGCAGTCGGAGCCTGGGCATCCTGGGTAGGAGCGGCCCTGTGGGGTCTTTGTGTCCCTGCCCCGTCTGCCCCTTGACCCTCCCGAGGCTGGGGAGAATGACCCCTAGTGTCTTGGGGGATACCAAGAAGCATCCAGTCTGACCACCAGCTGCACTGTGCTGCTTGGAAGACTTGAGCCCCGTGGGAGTGGCCCGGCGCTTGCCTAATTGACCATCGGTGGCTTCCTAACTCTGCGGACATTGGTCTGCCTGCCCCGGCCAGGCCCTGAGGGGATTTTTACATCTTTCTGCTACTTCTGTCCTTTCAAGCCGTTTGTTTAAAAGATTTATTTATTTATTTATTTGAAAGGCCCAGTTACAGAGAGGCAGAGGCGGGGTGGGGTGGGGTCTTCCATCAGCTGGTTCACTCCCAAGATGGCACAACAGCTGCGGCTGGGCCAGTCTGAAGCCAGGAGCCAGGAGCTTCTTCCGGGTCTCCCTTGTGGGTGCAGGGACCCAAGGACTTGGGCCATCTTCCACTGCTTTCCCAGGCATAGCAGGGAGCTAGATCGAAAGTGGAGCAACTGGGATTCGAACCAGCGCCTATGTGGGATGCCAGCACTGCAGGTGGCGGCTCTACTCACTATGCCACAGCACTGGCCCCTCAAGCCATTGTTTACCCCTCCTTTATTCTTGCTCTCCTGAATACTGCTGCAGTCCTTCCGAGGCCAAGGAGATCCAGAGAGGTTAAGCGACAGCCTGGGGTCCTCCAGCGATTGCAGAGCAGAGCCGGGGCTGGGCCTGTGGACTTTGGGAATTGTGTAGTTTTCCCAGCCTAGACTGCCCTGCGCCCCTTCCCGGTCGGGACACCCCAAGGCCTGGGTTAGGGTTTGGGGGTGGAGGTCCCTGGGAGGCAGAGGCCCGGCCTCCATCTCTTTTAGCCGTGGCTGGGGCCCGCTGCTCAGAACCTCTTCCCTGATGGCCTCATGCACGTTTCTTCCTTCTTCCTCCTGCCTGGGCTCCCAGGAGGCGAGGGATAAGAATCTACGGAGATGGTAAGTGGGGGCTCTGTCCTCGCGTCCTCCCCACCTCTCCCCTGCCTGAACCCCCTTACAGAGGGCACATGGGGAGGAAGAGCGCGAGGAAGGACCCGCCAGCCCCAGCCGCCGGCCTGGCTGCGGTGTTCACAGCCCCTGACGCCTGCACGTCCCTCCCGATAGCCTGGGATAAGGAGGCCCCGCACCCTTAGCAGAGAGGTCTTCGCTAATATTTGAACCCTTGACCCATCGTGGAGCTCACGGAAGGGGGCCCAGAAACCACGTGGGGGCCGAGAGCTCACCCAGCCTGGAGGCTTGGACCCCTGTCTCCTCTGGCCCGTCGCAGCCTCTCTCCCTGAAGCCCTCTCCTCCCGTCGCCTGGCTCCTGCAGGCTCAGATGTTGGAGCCCAAGCCCACTCCTGCCATTGGCCGCTCATTCCCCAAGGAGCAGAGCTGGGAGAACTCTGAGAACAGGCCCGTCCCCATTGCCTTGCTCCTGGCCTCCTGCGTATTCTCCCTGCCTGCTCCAGGGGACAGCGGCTAGAGAGGCCACTTCTGGACCTTGGCCCCAGGGTGGTGACCTGGGTGTCCCTGTCTGCAGAAGACGAGGTGGATATGCTGAATGATGGAAATGGCTCAGAAGAAAGGATCTCTGTCCCTTCCTGCTATGGCAGCATAGGCGCCCCTGTGGCAAGGCAAGGTGAGAGCAGAGGCCTAGTCGGGGCTGGCTCCCAGCAGCGGGAGGGGCCCCAAAGGAGGGCCAAGGCCCTGAGAGGCCTGGCGGTCACGCTGCCTGCTAGGTCTGAGGCAGCCACTCCCCCTCCTGACCGGCTATGACCCTGTGGCTGTTCCCCAGACCCGTCCAGGCTGGGTTCAGCATAAAGCCAACTCAAGCCCCACCTTTAGCCCAGAAAACCTGCCAACCCCAGGCCAGACTGTGGCTGAAACCTCAAGTCCCGTCAAGCACGATGTCACTGGGTGTAGGATTCGAGCCGAAAGGCGGGAAGGGCCCGTGGGGAGAGCTCAGCCTCTGGCCACCTGCTTCCTGCTCTGCCGGTCTCGGAAGGCCCAAGGCCCTCTGGGTAGCCCACTTAGCCTGACCCATGCCATCTGCAAGGGGCTGTGGCAGTGCTGAGCTGTGGCAAGGCTGAGCCTGCAGTGGGATGGGCCGATCAGCTCCCCAAAGGAGGCCTGGGACAGGGGTGCACAGCAACCAGGGCTGAGCTTCGTGGACCACAGGGAGCTGGGGATCTGGAGAAGCTGGGGATGACGTTAGAACTTGCCAGTGGCTGTGATTTTCTTTTTTTAAGATGTATTTATTTGAAGGGTAGAGGTACAGAGAGAGAGAAGGGGAGACAGAGAGACTGAAAGATCTTCCACCTGCTGATTCACTCCCCAAATGGCCACAACAGCTGGGGCTGGGCCAGGCCTAAGTCAGGAACTGGAAGTCCATCTGGGTCTCCCCTGTGGTACAAGGACCCAAGCACTGGGACCATCAGCCGCTGCTTTGCCAGGTGCATTAACAGGGAGCTGGATCAGAAGTTGAGCAACCAGGACTCGAACTGGTGCCCAGATGAGATGCCTGCGTTGAAGGCAGCACAGTGCAACCCCTACCTGTGATGTCTTTTTCTTTTTTTAAATATTTATTTACTTATTTGAAAGGCAGAGTTGCAGAGAAAGAGGAGAGACAGACAGATCTTCCATCCACTGGTTCACCACAATGGCTGGGGCTGGGCCAGGCCAAAGCAGGAGCCAGGATCTTCTTCCAGGTCTCTCATGTGGGTGCAGGAGCCCAAGAACTTGAGCCATTTTCCACTGCTTTCCCAGGCACATTAGCAGCAAGCTGGATTGGAAATGGAGCAGCTGGGACTTGAGGTGGCGCCCACATGGGAGGCCGGCTCGGCAGGTGGCAGCCCAACCTGCTGTGCCCCGGTGCCCGCCCCCTGATGTCTTGAGAAAGCAACTTCGGGTCTCTGTCTGCATTTCCTCTTCTCTGAAGTGGGAGTGGGGGCACCTAATCGTCACACTGAGCGGACAGTTCAGCAAGATGCTGCCTCTCAGAGGGCCCCTTGCCGGCGCTTGTCCCCCGCAGCATGCTGGGAGTGGTAGCCACCTCCCAGGAGGTCAGTCCTCGCCCAGACCCCCTCCGTTTGTCGAGGCAGGAAGGGGCTGGCCCCAGACCTACAGCCAAAGCCGGGATCGCCTACGCCGCAGCTGGTGATGTTCCAGCTGTAGCTGCAGCAGCCAGCTCCGCCCCTTACAAGAGCCGGCTGCGTCATCCCTCGCTTCTGCCCTGCCACTCACCCCTCAACCTGCTCCCAGCAGGTGTCTGTCCCCACCGAGGTCACCAACAAGGACTTCCTGGCCATTTCTCCTCCCTGCACTGTCCCAGCCCTGGCTGCCCCGTCACTGCCCTCCCCACTTCATGCTGCCCCCGGCTCTCAGCTCTTGCTGGCTCCTTTTACTTCCAGCTTTGCAGGGGGGTGTCCCCCCACCCCCGGCCTGCATCCTCCACTCTCTCCACGCTGCCTCAGTTCTTCCACTTCCCCGAGCGTGGCCACGGTTCCCTAAGGTGTCTGTCATCGAGACGCTTTGACTCCCCTGGCATGACCAGTCAGAATGATTTGTGCCTGGGGTGGCCAGTTAGGAAGTTGTGCCATGCCTCAGGCCGTGAGGCCCTCTGGGGAGGCAGCTCCCAGGCTGTTTGCCCAATGACTCACATGTCACCAAGAGCTGAGGTTTCTCCATCTTCCCACTGAGCCAGCCTCAGCCCGTCAGCCCTGCACGGCTGCGCCATGGCGGCACAGCTCTCGGTGCACACATAGAGGGCAGGATGCCAGAGGGCCGGTGTCTTCTCATCTCTCTGTTTCTTTTCCTGAGCTTTTCGTTTTGAAAAGGTTCTGGCATGCAGAAAATCTGAGATAACAGGACAGTGAGCACCCACCTGTTCCTCCGCCTGCACTCAGCGGTCGATGGCGCCTTTCCAAATGGATGAGCTGTTTGGAACTAGGGCCCAGCAGTCGTGACTCTTCTCCAGCTGCCTTGCTGTGCCTCTCCGAAGGCTAAGGAAAGGCACAGTCCCGGCGCTGCTTTCACACCTAAGATGGTGAACGATTCAGCACGGCTCCCTGATGTCGCTCCTTCCTGTATTCAGACCTCCTCGGTGACCCGACATCGCCTACGGCCTCCCCCCCAATCTAGGATCTAATTGAGTCATGCAATGCATTCGACTGTCACAGCTCTGGAGAAAGGTCTCTGCCTTTGTAAAAAAAATGACATCAACAAGGGCTGGCACTGCGGTGTAGTCGGTTAAGCCTCTACCTACGGTGCCAGCATCCCATACGGGTGCCAGTTCCAGTTCTGGCTGCTCCACTTCTGATCCAGCTCTCTGCTAAGGCCTGGGAAAGCAGTGGAAGATGGCCCAAGTGCTTGGGCCCCTACACCCACGTGGGAGGCCCGGAAGAAGCTCCTGGCTCCTGGCTTTGGATCCACCCAGCTCCAGCCTTTTTGGCTGTTTGGGGAGTGAACCAGTGGATGGAGGACCTCTTAGTCTCTGTCTCTCACTCTTTCTCTGTAACTTCACCTTTTGAATAAAATAAATACATTAATTAATTTTAAAAATCTATATATATAAATGACGTTGACTTTTTAAAAGTTTTTTCTGTTTGTTTGAAAGGCAGAGTTAGAGAGAGACAGATCTTCCATCTACTAGTTCATCCCCAAAATGACTGCAACAGCTGGGCCTGAGGGCCAGGACAAAGCTAGGAGCCAGGAGCTTCATCTGAGTCTCCCACATTGGTGGCAGGGACCCAAACACTTGGGCCATCTCCCACTGCCTTCCCAGGTGCATTAGCAAGGCGCTGGATCAGAAGTGGAGCAGAGGCCAGCGCTGTGGCATAGTAGGCTAAGCCTCTACTTGCAACGCTGGCATCCAGTATGAGTGCCGGTTTGTGTCCAGCTGCTCCCCTTCTGATCCAGCTCTCTGCTGTGGCCTGGGAAAGCAGTGGAGGATGGCCCAAGTGCTTGGGCCCCTGCACCTGCGTGGGAGACTGGAAGAAGCTCCTGGGTCCTGGCTCCTCGCTTTGGATTGGCTCAGCTCTAGCCATTGCGGCCATTTGGGGAGTGAGCCAGCGGATGGAGACCTTTCTCTCTGTAACTCTGCCTCTCAAATAATAAATAAAATCTTAAAAGAAAAAAAAGTGGAGCAGCCAGGACTCCAACTGGCACCCACATGGGGTGCTGGCGCTGCAGGCAGGAGCTTAACCCACTGCACCACAGCGCCGGCCCCAACACTGACTTTCTCAAAACCCCCAGGCACCCGTGCAGCAGCGCGTGCCGCCTTGCACATTCGTCTGAGGTTTGCCTCGACCCCCGCGCTGTTCTGTTGCCTGCAAACGGGAGCTTGGATGTTAGGGTTGGATTAGGTTGAGGATGGCCTTTCTGGCAACACTATGGGGTGAGGTGGCCCGTGTGTCACCGCTCGCTTGTACACCGTGGTCACATGACGGCCTCAGTGCCTCAGTCTCCTGAAGCAGCTCATTGGCCTCACAGGTGTGTTGCGAGGATCTGTGAGCTGGTCCAGATAGAGTTCAGAACAGCACGTGTTGTGGGAGCGTGGGCCGCTGTTAGGGCATCCTGGACCCCCCAGAGCCCAGCCTGGGCTCAAAAGACTTGGTCCACTTGGCAGGCGCTGTATCCCATGACTCCGAGGCGTTGGCCTCCGTGGCCAAGCAGCTATGGGACCTGGAACGGCTGGTGAAGGTCCAGGCTGATGAGATGCTGTCCAAGGTGAGGCCCCAGGTGGGAGAGAGCCAGGGGCTGGGCTGAGAGGTGGCAGGCCCAGGCCGGGAAGCCAGGGGCCAGCAGTGGGACCAGGGCAGAGGGGTTTGGTGACCGTCTCCCCACTCAGCAGCCCAGTGTGATGGCCGGGTGTGGGCCCCGCTCAGCTGGGGCCCAGTGACTGAACAGAGAGGCTGGGGGCTTCTTCGTAGCTGAGCAGGGCCCAGGTGACCTTGGCCTGGGTGGAGTCGGCGCTCTCGGTGTGGGCTGTGCCTTTCCCCACCTCAGCAGTGCTGCAGGGGTGGCCTGCGGCACAGGAGCAGCGGCTGTGCCAAGTGTTGGCAGAGGCAGGACCTTTGTGCTCCCCAGGGCCCCCCCACAGGCACAACCTCTGCATCTTCCTACCCGGAAGGCGGCTGGGGAAGCGCCGGGCCTTGCGCTCACCCTAGGCCTCGCTGCTGCAGGATCAGAAGATACTGGCCCTGGAGGACTTGGTGAAGACCCTCCAGCAGCACCAAGGTAAGAGGCCCTCCTGGGGGCTGATCCCCCGGTCGGGACCTCCCTTGGCCCTGTGCCCCTGGGTGGGAGCGTAGGTGGTGAGCAGCAAGCTACTCCCTGGTGGGTCTGGAGAGCTGAGCCAGAGCTCGGCGCCGACAGCTGGAGTCAGAGTGCCCTGAAGGTAGCTGCACTACCCAGAGCGTGGTGGAGCCACAGCACTGAGGGGCGAGGCAGGGTGCCCTCAGGGGAGCGGGGAGAGAGGGCAGAGATAGAGGGGGTCCCCTGCAGGTGGTTCCTCAGGGCCCCAGATGGCCCTCAGGGCAGAGGTGGCCTGGAAGCTGGAACAGCCAGACCCCATCCCCATCTCCCCACCAAAGGCGAGGCCTCCCAGCAGCGGCAGGAGGAGCTGGAGACGATGTGCGCGCAGCTGCAGCGGCAGGTCGGGGAGATGGAGGTGAGGGCGGGCCCGGGGACGCAGCAGTCCGCAGCCCGCAGCCCCAGCTCCAGGCTGTCTGCCCCTTGGGACGGGGCCAGCACCTACTTCTCTGGGCCCCTCCACACCAAGCCTCCCCCTGGGGGCCCTGCCCCGTGAATTAACCCCGAGTTCACAGAGCCACAAGTGTCCAGGGCTCACCCTGTGAGTCTGAACCGCCCTAAGCACACCCCGCTTGCCTCCTTGGCCTCGGGGCTCCCGGCTGGGCTCAACGCCAAGGGCCTCCCTGGCCCCTGCTGATTCTTTGAACACGCCCAGTCTGTCCCGCCTCGGGACCCTGGCCCATTGCTGTTCCCTGGCCTGCAGTGTTTTTCCTTCCTGCCCCAGCCCTGTCCTGTGCTTTCTCAGTACCTCCCTTCTCTGCCGTGGACTGTGAACTCCGGGGCGGGCCACCTCCCTCCCGATCCCGATCCCCGGAGACTCATCAAGGCCATCCCCTATCTCTGCCTGTGACTTCTTCCTCCCACGCACACACCCATTCAGACTCCAAAGCTTGAACTGGAGGGGCCAGGAGCAAAGACGTGTCCCAGGTACACACACGTCCCAGGCATTCCCACCCTGCCCTGGCAGGAGCCAGCCTTCCTCTCCGAGCACAGAGTGGGTTCCTAAAACCCCAGTGGAATCCAGGGCCACAGAGGCCAACCCCAGAGCCTCAGCTGCAGCTGGGAGCACCTGTCGCTCCAGGCCTGTTGGTCCCTGGGGCTGTGGGTAAACACAGCTGCCCCCACCCCCCAGGCTGCTCCGAGCCTCTGCTGCAGGGGCTGAGAGGCTGTACCCCAGAGCCCCTGGTGGGAGGGCATCACTGGCTCTCACGAAGCAGGTGCTTAGCAGAACCCGCTGGGGGCAGCACCCTGCAGTGCCTGTTCTAGTGCCTGGTTGGAAATCTGAACAAGATAGACATGGTCCCCACCCTCAAGGGGCTGACAGCGTGGAGGGGACGAGACATTAACAAGTACATGAAAGAGACACAGAGACAGGGAGTGCTATAAGATAATCCCGTGTGTGACACACTGGAGACGGATGGGGACGAACCACTGTGGAGGTGACCTTGGCCATGAGATCTGGGGGATGAGGGGCAACCAGGGGCAGAGGACCCAGGCCAGAGACACGAAAGCCTCCCCTTCTGCCGGGTACACTTGGCTGATAGCGGTTGCTGGTCATGGGCAGCAGGAGACCAGAGGCCGGAGTGGCCCCATCACGCAGGACTCGCTGCCCGTGGTGCGCGTGGATTCCACTGGGAGGGAATGGGAGACCACTGGGGGTGTCAGAGCGACATGAGGGGAGGACCCTCCTACTGCGTGACGACGGGGACACAGGTAGAAGCCGTCTCCTGGTTGTCCAGGAGCGTGACAGTGGCCGTGGTCTGAGCTGGGAGGCAGCGCATGGGGCAAGAGGGGTCGTTCTGAGGCTGCTTGGGAGATGGCAGCCACAGGCCTTGAGGGGCATCCGGGTGTGGTGGCAGAGAGGGGAGCGGGTGCTGGATGATGCCTGGGTGGAGGGGGCGTCACTGAGACAGGACCAGGAGGTCCAGGGCATGGGGGCGGGAGCCGTGACTGTTCAGTGATCGCGAGTTGCATGGCAGGCATTAGAGTCTACGTGGTTGGAGGCGGGAGTGTGGAATTCAGGCTGGGATCTGCTTTGTGGTGCAGCAGGTTAAGCTGCCGCTTGCAGTGCCAGCATCCCGTACTGGAGCGCTGGTTCAAGCCCTGGCTGCTCCACTTCTGAGCCAGCTGCCTGCTAATGCTCCTGGGAAGGCAGAGGAAGCTGGCCTAAGTACTGGGGCCCCTGCCACCCACATGCGTGACCCAGATGGAGCTCCTGGCTCCTGGCTTTAGCCCAGCCCAGTCCTGGCCGTTGTGGCCACTTGGGGAGTGAGCCAGCAGATGGAAGATTCTCTGCCTGTCAAATACATAATAAATCCTGACAAAAAACAAAGACAAAGACCAAAAAACAAGTCATAAGGGAGTGCTGTGGACCTGCAGTGTCGCTGTCGGGTGGAAATGGGGAAGCAGCAGGGGCTGGCCAAGGAGCAGCCAGGCGGGAGGAAGCCCAGCCGCTGTTGAAAGAGATGAGGACAGAGGTGCGCCCGCTGGGTTTGGCAATGGGCAGGTGGTTGGTGGCTGCACCATGAGCAGCTTCAGTGAATTGTGGGTTGAGGAAAGAAGGGGAGAAAAGGAATTGGCAACAGGAGGTGTAGACGATTGAAGTTCTGTGGCAGAGGGGAGGGAGGCCAGGCCCTGGGGAGGCCGGCGCGTGGCTGGTCCCGTCCTCAGAGCCAGGGTGTCCCCAGCCCCTCACGCTCAGGCTGACCCGCATGGCTGCCCACAGCCACAGCGGCCGGCTTTCCTGCTCAGCGCTGGATGTGAACTAGGTGCTGTGATCTCCTGAGGCTCCAGGAGGTAAAAGGCTTTCCAAGGTCACAGCCAGGAAGCAGCCACGGTCTCAGCCCATCCCCTTGTTCTGTCAGCTCTGGGGCTGAGCCTGGGGACGGAGCCAAGGCCACTCGTGCCCTGGGAAGGGACTGAGCTGGCAGTGTCCCCAGCATCACCTCCTTTCCCCACAGCGGTTCCTCAGCGACTATGGGCTGCACTGGGTGGGCGAGCCCATGGACCAGGAGGACTCCGAGGGTAACATAGCCTCAGAAGATGGCGGGAAGGCCTGGATGACAGCCAAGAAGTTCTGGAAGCCAGGTAGCCTAGAGGCTGTGCCCCAGACGCCCTCAAGGGGGATCCTCCAGCGGCTCCCAGCATGCCCCGAGGGACCCCTGACACAGCACGCGGGAAAGGCCTCAGCCTTCATCACTGACCAAGACGCGCCTTGCTCTTCTGCAAGGGCCCCCGAGGCCCCCAGGGACAGGCCGTGCAGGTCCGGGCTCTGCTCTGCGGTCTGTAGATGTGTGTCATCCCCCCACCCCCCGCCACAGCTGTCAGCCTTAACCTCTGCCTGGGGCCCCCCCCCGCCCGTTGCCAGGGCTGGGCCCCCTCTCCAGGGTCGTTGCTGACCCGTGGACGTGACCAGCGGCCATGGGCTCAGCACTTCTCACTCTGAACGCGGCCACTAGTGTCTCGGGGTCGCCCCACAGCCCCTTCTTCCCGAGTTTTGTCTCCGTGGAACTGGCTGTTTCTGAGAACTGGGTCTGTCCAAGGGTGGAGCTCGCTGCCCGCAAAGTCTCCGTCCAGGCCCTGAAGCCGGGCGAGCCCGGGTCCCCAGCTCCAATGCTCCACCTGTTCCCCGTGACTCGAGCAGGCGACATCTGCTCTCTGAGTAAGGGGGGGGGGGCATGCACCTCCCCAGGGACTCAAAAGGGCGAGCACAGAGCGCCCAGCGCCGGAGTGCATGTTGTTTTCCCAGGCCTTGAAGAGGCTCGCGGGGACACACGCTCTGTCCTGCAGAGCCTGTTTGGGTGACCACGGCAGCCTCTTGCGTTCCTAAGCCTCCTGCTGGGTAAAGGCCCGGATTGCAAACCACATCTTTAGGCCCAGGCTTTGGCCAGTTCCTCTAACCCTCAGACACACAGCCCTCCACTGCTTGTTCCAAAAACATCACTTCTCATTTGGGTAACACTGGCAGCTTTCAAAGCTTTTTCAGAAATGGCTTCAACATGGGTCAGGAGTTGCTCCATTTTATAGATGGGCACATGGAGGCACATCAAGGTGACTTGGAAGGGGCGGGACTTAAGGGTGAGTGAGAGCCCAGCTGGAAGTGCAGTGCTTCATGCAAGGGGAGGATGGGAGGAGTCGGGTGAGCCAGGGGGCATCGCTGTGGGGAAGATGCTGAGCCCTGGCCGGACAGCAGAGCCGGGGAGCTATGCAGACAATGGCTCCCACATTCCCGACGGAACCCAGGGCTGTGCCGGCCATGGGTGTTCTCCCGGCCTGGTTAAGAGGTGAGGCCTGGGCCAGCGAGTGGGTGCAGTGCTCTTGTCACAGGTCTGGGGCCAGAGCCCGGCCACGTGCAGCGTGGGCCCCACCACCGCGTGGGCAGGCAGCCTCCTCCTAGCCAGTGGGGACCTCCCTGCTGCTGTGGGGAGCGCTCAGACTGGCCACTTGGTTTCTGGACCTGGCTCCGGGGCTCCTGCTCTCCCCAAGCCCTCTAACGGAGAGCAGCCTTCTTTCTGCACCGTTTGGTGTTGGGGCTGTGCATTGGGCTGGCTCTGAGGCTGGATGCGTGCAGGCTGCAGCCGCAGTGAGCACCGCCCACCGCCTGCTGTGGCCGCCGCAGCCGCACAGCCCCCGTCTTCCTTTCTGGTTCCTAGCATGGGAAGGGCCTTGCATTGGCCCTTAGTTTCCTGCTATGTTTTCCTCCTGAGACCTCTCCCACCTTTCTCTCTCCTTCCCCAAGGGCCCTTCTGGCCTGAGGCTCTGACTCCCCTGCTGGCTGCCCCTGCTCAAGGGCTCTGAGGCAGGGGCCAGTGGGTGGGGGAGCCGCAGGAGCTTCTCCTGGGGCCAAATGATGATTGGAATGTTCTAGAGCCTGGACCTCCTGTCAGGGGAAGAATCTGCAGGGCCCGTGAGGGGAGGGGTTGGCCTCAGGCTGGGTCAGTATCCCATCAGGGCATGTAGGCCAGGGCTGAGCCTCAGGGCTGGGAGCCCCAGTCTGAGCTGTTCCTGACCCCTCCCTCAGGCTGGGACCCCTCCTCTGAGCCACCAGCTTCTTGCTGGCCGGCCCCACATCACCACTGTTCCCGGCCAGCACCCCCGCCACCCTCCCTCCCCCCTCCCCAGCCCTAGGCCCTGTGTCTGGGTTGGAGCCTCTTTCAAACTCCCAGCAGGGGAAGATGTCACATGAGCCGTGTCCTCTGGCCCCTGAGCCTGCATTCGGCCCCCTGCCTGGCCCACCTGCTAGCCCCTTGGCTCCTCTCCTTTGATGCTCAGCTCGAATCCGGCCTTCTCCAGCTGAGCTCTGTGCCAAGCCCTGGGCTGCCGCTGGTAGCCGCCCCAGCACTGCGTGCCAAGGGTTGGGTGCGGGTGGGTGAGGGCAGCGAGAGCCCAGCGATGAGGAAGAGGTGCTGGTGCCAGCAGCCAGCGTCTGCCGGGTACTTCCTCCCCCTCGCGCAGGGCTGTGAAGTGGGCACTGTGGGCTGCCCTCACTGGCAGAACAGGGAGCCAGGCCAGGCTGAGGAAGGGGGCCTGGCTGGGCTGCGACCCCTAACGGGCAGACTGTGTGACCTCTGGGTCTCTCCTCTGCTCTGAAGTCCGAGGTGGTGAGCAGGAATGCCAGCCCTGCTTCCCGGCTGTTAGCCCCGGGCACCCAACACAGGGCTGGCCAGTGCCCGGTGTGCCTAGGCCTGGGCCGTGACAGAGGGATGGGGTGGAGACCGGCAAGCAGCGCTCCATGACAGGGCCCTGGGTCGCAGGCCGGGGGGTGTGCTGTGCTGTGCCCAGGCTCCCAGAGCCCCTCCAAGGACCAGAATGAACCCAGCTGCAGGCCCCCGATGGGGCCCCGCTTAGCAGGTGTGTGGCAATGGTGGCTCCATTTCCTGTTACAACAGTCTTTGCGTGAGGTGGAGGGGCGAGGGCATAGCATACTCGGGAGGGGCTGCCACTCACCCGCTGATGGTGGCAGGGTCTGGCCCCTCCCTGCCCCCCCCCCCCCCCGGCTGCACAGTGGCACTTACATGCCGTTGTCACCGTGCTCACCTGTCTCTCTCACTTGAGCCTGGGCCTGAGGGGGACCGGGCTCTGGGCACGAGCATCACCGTGACCCACATGGGCGCTGCACGCAGGAGGGGGCTGGGTGGAGGGGGCGTGGCCGGAGATGCTTGGAGCCAGGGTGGAGGGAGGGTCCAGCTGTGCCCCTCGAGCACCGACCCTGGGCCAGGCGCAGGGCTGTGTTTAGGAAGTGTCCAGTGTTGATGAAAGGCAGATGGGCGGGCAGAAAGCAAGAGCGTGTGGCGTGGGCCCAAGGGTTCCAGGCGCCCAGCCCAGAAGGGAGGGACTCGTGGCCAGGCTTTGCCGAGAAGGTAAGGGTGGGTGAGGGCAGCGAGAGCCCAGCGATGAGGAAGAGGTGCTGGTGCCAGCAGCCAGCGTCTGCCGGGTACTTCCTCCCCCTCGCGCAGGGCTGTGAAGTGGGCACTGTGGGCTGCCTCACTGGCAGAACAGGGAGCCAGGCCCAGAGAGGCCCACTTGCACAACACCACAGAGCTCCGAGTGCAAGGAGGAGCATGCATGCGGCCGCTGGGGGGCTCGGACCGGAGCTGCTTGCCTCCCTGCTCCCGTCAGTACACTCACGGGCTCCCAAAGTCTCTGCAGACTCTCCTGGCACTGCCACCTTCCCCCGAAAGGGACCTTAGGGAGTGGCATCGAAAGAGCCAGCACAGAGGCAGCCTGCACAGTCACCGGGGCCTGAGGCTGAGTCACCGGGCCAGCAAGCTGCGTCAGCCAGGGCATGCCACCTCACAAGGCCCGATTCCATCACCTGCTTCTTGGTTCTGGGCAGGTTCACCAGCTGGGTCTTGTGGATGTGGCAGGGTTGTTATCTACCCATTGCACCGAAAGGAAAACTGTGGCCTCACACAGGAAATGCCTCACGCCGCCAATGAGCTGGGGCAGAGCTGGAGCTTGCCCTCACTGGCAGACCTTCCTCACCCCGTGTATCCCCTCCCCACCGTCCCTCTCCTTCTCCAACTTGGACAGCGCTCGTAGGACGGGGGCTCACTGCTTCACCAGGCTCCGCGTGTGGTGGTAACACCAAGCTCTCCCTGATTCTCAGCCCTGCTCTGTCCCGAGCTGCGATTCCTTCCTCCTGGGCCCCTGGTCTGCCCTGGCCTCCATTGTGCCCGACAGCCACCCAGCTTTCTCCTCTCCAAGCCCGGCCCGGCTGGCTGAGAGCACGGGGCAAGTTTTCATGCAGACCTCTCTCTGCCCTCGTCCCTTCTTGGCATCCTCCCCTGGGCTCCTGGCTGTCCCCTTCCCTGCCCGTCGGTCCCTGAGGGAGCCCTGGCCCCAGGAGGCAGGAGCCCTGGCTCAGGCATCAGCTCAGCAAAGGCCACGCCCCCCAGCCGCGGGAAGAGGAGCGGGTGGCACAGGAGCTGTTCCTTTGTGCTGTCCTTGGGCTTAGCCGTTTGTTCTTGAAGTAGCTAGATGCTCAAGGAAAGTGACCTTGGGGTCACTCTGAGTCCTCCCAGGGATGCCCAGGGTGTTCTGGGAGCTTTCCCCAGGAATCTCCAGGGGGCCCCACGGTGGGGGGTGAGTGTGGCCCCCTGGACAGCAGGAAACGGAGGGGAAGAGGCGGCCAGCTGGGAGCAGCCGTTTCAGCAGCTGCCACGGTGACAGGAAACGCAGCCGCTGCCTCTGTGCTCCCCCGACACAGGCTCTGCCCTGCTGTGGGGAAAGGAATTGGGTCCCCAGAGCCCTGACCCACATCCTGCCACAGCCTGGCTGTCCTGGGGAGAAGCAGCTTCTAAGAAGGCGCTGAGAAGTCTAGGCGGGCTGGAAGCAAACGCGGCCTGAGCAGGTCCCTGGCCAGCGTCCCTCCTGCCCTGGCATCTGCCGTGGCCCTGCTGGCCCTCTGCCCCACGTGCAGCCCCTTTGCTTCTGCTCAGCTCTAGATGAGAGGTTTTCTCAGAAGAGCAGGCCAAATCTTTGTCAGCTCTCAAAAGGGTCTGTGAGCCAGCAGTCGCCGCACCCTCTGCGGTCTGTCCCGAATCAGTTCTGTCCAGCAGCTGTCCCAGCACCCTCTCTCAGAGCCATCCCACCCGACCCCTAAACACCTCCTCCTGCCGTGCGCCTGGAGCCTGCCCTGGCTCCAGTCCCGGTCCTTCCTCTACCTTGCTTAGTGGTCTGGGGGGAGCCATCTTGCATGTTTCCTCTTGCATAAAATGGAGCGGTGTGGCCCCTGCTTCCCAACACGGTGGGCCTTGAGGATCACTTGTGTAGGGTAGGGCTGGTCACACGGGACACGGGCAGGGTGCTTGTTCCAAGCTGGCCCTTACACCAACACCTTGGAGCCCTAGGGCCAGCCTCAGACCGAGGCGCCCTGTTCTAGGTGAGAATGCTGCGGCGCCGCGCACTGACTGAGCTGTTCAAGGTCACGCAGGTAGAAGATTAAGAGCTGAGTTGTGACCCAGATGGCCTTGATCCAGAGCGGGGATCAAATGCTGCTTCTGCAGCTTCCTGCTGTGTGGCCGCGGGCCAGCCAAACTCCTCTAGCCTCAGCTTCCTCATCTGAAAAATGGGGGTGATGACAGCCCCCATGGGGCAGGGCTGGTAGGAGGAGGACGTGGGATCGTGGGTGTCAGATGCCCAGCACACAGATGAGACCGCAGTTATCACTGTCCTCACCCTCAGGTGGTCCCTTGGGCCTCTGTGTAGCACGGGGGCAGGGCGTGGCACACAGCTGTGAGGAGGCTCATGGCTGCCTGTCCTCTTTGCCAGGGGACTCGACGGTGCCCCCCGAGGTGGATTTCGACAGGCTTCTGGCCAGCCTGCAGGACCTCAGTGAGCTGGTGGCGGAGGGGGACATGCAGGTGACGCCAGTGCCTGGTGGGGCGCGGCTCCGTGTCCTTGAGCCCATCCCGCTGAAGCTGTACCGGAACGGCATCATGATGTTCGATGGGCCCTTCCGGCCCTTCCACGACCCCTCCACGCAGGTAGGAGCCGGGGCGGGGAGCTCCCTGGGGCCTCTGCCTCCCCCGTCCCCATTACTTGGAGATGGTGGAGCCTTTGTCACGCAGGCCCAGCCTGTCCTCCATGTCCTGGGACTCAGGATTTCCAGAGCGCACACAGTGGTTAAGCCCAGAGCCCAGGCAGCCATGGGGGCACCACCAGGTGCAGCCAGCCTCACTTCTCCTCTCCCCTCGCAGCGCTGCCTCCGAGACATGCTGGATGGCTTCTTCCCCTCAGAGCTCCAGAGACTGTACCCCAATGGGGTCCCTTTTAAGGTGACCACCCCTCCCTGCGTGGGGGTTTTGAAGGGGGTGGGGACCAACAGCTTCCTCAAGCATCACCCATTTTGATGGGTGAGCCTGAAGCCAGGCTGGGAAGGGAGGGGCAGTGGCGCCCTCTGCTGGCACTCTGAAGGCACAGCCTCGGGAACCCTGAGGAGTCAGCGCCAAGTGGCCTGCTTCCTGCAGAGCACCGAAAGCCATCTGGCCGAGGTGGGAGGTTGCCCTGGGCCACGAGGCCAGAACAGAGGGGCAAATGCTGAGCCTCACTGGCTGTGGCAGGTGTGCGTGAGGCCAAGGGTGCCCCGAGAGCAGTGGGTGATTTCCGTGGCGAGGGTGAGGCAGTGTGTGCTGCCACTGCTCGGCACAGGGTGAGTCATGGCTGGGGGCGTGTGCAGCGTCCATGCCAAGGGACCTCGGAGCTGCGGCCGGCACAGCAGAGGGGCTTGGACCTCTCCTCGCGCCCTCCTGGCCTCCCCTCAGGGTTGGCTTCCAACAGGGTCCCTGAGGAGGGTGGAGGGTGTCAGGGCTGCGAGTCCCCCTGGCACGGATGGAGGGCGTTTGCAGGGGGAGGTCCGGGGCCCAGGATGTGGCTCCCTTGCTCTGAGGGCCCCGGTCTCCTCACCTGTAAGGTGGGACTGCGTCCGACCACCCTCGTGCCTGTTCTTGGGGCCTCTGTGCAAGCTGGGCCCCGTCCTTCTCACCAGGTGAGTGACCTGCGCAATCAGGTCTACCTGGAGAACGGGCTGGACCCGTTCCCAGGTGAGGGCCGCGTGGTGGGCTGGCAGAAGATGCGCAAGGCCTCGGACCGGGTGGAGAAGCACCAAGGTGAGCTGGGCCCTGAGGCCGAGCCAGCTGGCTGGGGGGCCGTGCAGGACCGGCTCTGGGTGGCCGCCTCTGCCACCCTCACAGCCCCTCCCGGGCCACGCTTCTCACCGCCATCCCTGCAGACTCCACGATGACCGCAGAGAAATTTCTGAACAAGCTGCCTAAGTTTGTGATCCGGCAAGGAGAGGTGGTTGACATCCGGGGCCCCATCAGGGACACCTTGCAGGTGAGGCCAGCCCTCTTGGGTGGAGGTTTCCCACCAGCCCAGGCCCAGCCTGCCGTGTGGATGTGGGTCCCTGAGGAGGTCTGGATGGAGAGGCGAGGCCTCAGGGCCTGCCCGAGAGCAGCTGAGTTGCCTGTAAATGGAGTGAAGTCAAGAGTACGAGCCAACAGGCGAGTCCAAGGCCCAGGCCATCCCCTTAAGGTTCTGGCCAAAACAGCCTGCTCATTCCGGGTCCCCCTTCCGGCTCCTTTCACTGCCCCTCCCTGCCCCTCTTCCCAGTCTCTGTGAAAGTTCCTCAGGGCTCCTCTGCCTCCTGCATTCCCACCCCTGCTGCTGTCACCCTGTCCACGCACTAGAGTGTCTCCCCTGGCGACGGCAAGGGCCTCACTGACCCGTCTTCTCCAGTCCTGCCCTGCCACCCACACCTCTCCCGGTGGCTGTCCTCGTTGAAATCGCCGGTGATCTCCTTGCCCTGGAGCTCAAGGCCAGACCCGCACCACCGGGCCCCTCCCCAACCTGATTCATGAACTGCGGGCTGTTTCCCAAGTGCATCACTTCCTCCAGGAAGCTCGCTGACCTCGGGATCTCTGTCCATGCTGTCCAGGACACCCCCGCCCCCACTCCATCTCTGAGGACTGTACTCAGCCTCCCGTCACAGCTCAGGTGTCACTTCCCCAGGGAAGGCTTCCCCGCCTCCAGCCTGTTCAGCACTTTGTCTCCCCCATGACACTGAGGGGCCTGGGGTCAGGGGCAGAGCTGCCTCCCAGCTAGGCGCCTTCTCCCCTCCATTTGTTCTCCTTGAGCCTCAGCTTAGGCAGAATACCTCCTCCCGCTTTGGTCTCATCCTGGTCCCCCGTTAAGGGCTGGGGCCCTGGCTTAGGTAGGGCCTGGGGCTCTGCCCATTCTCCTTTGATGCCTTCCAGAGCTGCTGCCCGTTGCCCGCCCGGGTCCAGGAGATCATAGTGGAGACACCTGCCTTGGCCACTGAACGGGAGAGGTGAGGGCCGGACAGAGAGGTGAGGGTCTGAGGGCTTGGGCCACTGAGGGCTGATGCCTCTGCACCCTCAGGAGCCAGGAGACCCCCAACACCCCTGCGCCCCCACTCTCCATGCTGCGCATCAAGTCGGAGAACGGGGAGCAGGCCTTTCTACTGATGATGCGGCCCGAGGACACGGTGGGCGATGTGCGCACCCTGCTAGCACAGGCCAGGTGGGCGCAGGGCGGGGCTGGGAGCACTGGGAGGCTCCGGGACCAAAGCCCCGACTGATCAGCCCCACCCGGTCCCCAGGGCCACAGATGCCACCGCCTTCGAGATCTTCAGCACATTCCCGCCCACAGTCTACCAGGATGACTCGCTCACTCTGCAGGCCGCAGGCCTGGTGCCCAACGCTACGCTACTGCTGCGGGCACGCAGGGCCCCGCTGGCCAGCCCTGGCTTCAGTCCAGGTCCTGGCCCCCGCCCCTAATAAAGCGCACGCCCCGACACTGGCTGCTGCAAGGCTCAGTCCCGGCGGAGGGAGGCTGGGGAGGGGGCGGTGCTGACCCGCCCCTCGGTAACTCGAGCCCTAGCTGGCGGGCCTGGCCGCCGAGTCTTTGTCCTCTAGGTTCCTCTTTCTCCCAGCAAGAGCTGAAAGGATGTGTGAAGGAAGGATCCCGGAGGGAGTGGCCAGCTCCAGCCGGCACAGCAGAGCTGCCCTGTGCCCAGGTGACAGGCACAGGCCCAAAGCTTAGGGGCACTTTCTCTGCACTACGCACAAAGCCACTGTCACAGCTACACCCCTGTCCCCGAAATAGCGGGTCTGCAGCTGTGCACCCACTCCCACAACTCACCCACACTTAGCCACCCTGCTCCAACTCAGGCAGTGACACGGGGCAGCTGCACTGGCAGGCATGGACATGTGCAGTACACATCAAGGTATAGAAGTGACAGGGACCCCACCATGTGAGCTGGAGGGTGGCCCACCCAGACCGTCTCCAGAAACAAGAGGGTCCACCCAGGTGTGGGTGTGCCAGATAAACATCCACACACAGGCACTGGGACAGTCACATCACCCAGCCTCACCGGGTACAGGGACCCAGGACGCCTAGCCCACAACCAGACAGACACAGTGCCAGTGGAATGGGCATTTAATTGTCTAGGGTGCTCCCAGGCAAGGGACTGCGGGGCCTTTGGCAGAGCTCTGGCTCAGGGAACCAAGAAGAGGTGTCCTGGTCAGTGCCAGGCAGAGAGGCGGCAGCCCCAAGGCCGGGCTGGGACGGCCAGCACTGGGGCTGCTGCTTAAGACAATTTCGGAGACGGAGCGGAGAAGAGGCTTGGGCTGGGGAGAGGGTCCCCAAGGCCAAAAGGTTAGGAATGACAGGGAAGTTGGTCACAAGGTCCTTCGAGGCCAGGTGAGGGCTGCGGGGAGAACATGGTGACCGGGTCCAGGGGAACCCATCGGGGGGCTGGACTCAGGCCAGCTTCAGGAACTCCTGCAGCGTGTTTTGCTCCACAGCCTCCACGAAGAGCTCATAGTCCTGGGGGATGGGAGGCAAGCAGGGGTCACCCTAGGCCATGTGCAAGAGGCTCCAGTGCTTTGTCCCTGGCTGGAGTCCTCCGGCACTCCCCGCCCCAATCCCCGGGCCCGTACCCCGCAGTATTGGTCCCCGTTGACGATCTGGGGTGGGGTGGCCTTGGGGTTGCCCGCCAAGGCTCGCATCTCATCCCGCAGGGCGTTGTCCTGGGAGATGTCCACTAGCTGGTACTGGATGCGCTTCCCGTCCAGGATGCGGGTCACCTCACTCTGCTGGGACTTGATCTGGGGCAGAGGGTGGGCAAGGGTTACTGGGTGGGCTGGAGAGTTTTGGCAGCGGGCAGAAGGCTGTGACCAGAGCTTTTGTTCCCTGCCCCCCCACCCCCAGGGGAGGGTTCCAGCCAGAGGAATGCAATCTACAGGGTGGGCATCAAGTGGGATACAGTTCGCAGCTGGAGGAGCCGGCTCGGCGAGGAGAGAAGGGAGGGGAAGGCGGGGGAGCCTGGGTAGAAGCTAGAGAACGGCCACCCGCACCCCACGCGCACAGAGTGGAGGAGGAAGGGCGGGTTAAGGACGTGGTCAGGGTCAGGTTGGCAGCGGCGGTGCAGAGAACGAGTGCCTGAGTGTTGGGGGATGGGCGTGGGAGATTCAGGCAGAGGCTGCCGAGGATCCAGCACGTCCCATTGAAGGGGCTCAGGCTGGCGCCTTGGACTGGTGGTCCCTGGAGGCCGCGTTCCGCCCCCGTCCTGGGGAAGGCTCCCAGGCGCCCGGGTCCGCAGTTGCGGACACGGCCCAGCGCCCTCCCCCGCGCCGGCCGCGCGTGGGCGCACACTTACTTCGCGGGAGCCGGTGACCGACGTGCTGTAGACGCGCAGGCCGCTCATGCTGCGGGCAGACGGGCGTGTTGGCAGACACGGGAGGCGGTGGCGGCAGCTGCACAGCCGAGACGACGCTGCCGCGCTCGGGAGCGGTTTCCTTCCTGCTCCGCCTGCGAGTCACCGCTCTCGGGACCAATCGGTGGCGCGGGTGGCTGGAGGGGCGGGGCCTGCACGACACCGCCCAGCGCGCCAGAGGCCCCCTCCCTTCCCCCACGGTGGCTAGACACCAGAGGACCCGAGTCCCACGTAAGGCCGCCCCTCTGCAGCCGCGCCACCACCCACTTCAGCCCTCCCCCGGTCCAGGGCTCAGCGTGAGGCTGGAAAGACCCGGTAAGGCGGAGGTGAGAGGCTGGCACAGCGGCCCCAGCTCCCCCGGCTCGGGGCATCCAACTACCCACTTCCCCCAGTGCCATCAGGAGTTGCCTCGGTAACAGCTCAGCACGGTCCTTTGGAAGCCTCAAATCCCAAAGTCCCAAGGAGCCCCGCCCCAGGGCGAACGCTGCAGGACAGGAGGCAGAGGCAGTCTGCTAAGAGGATTTCCCCCAAGTTCCTCTCCACTGGGCAGGTTTAGACAAGGAAGGTGGTGGCAGGCAACACCTTCGTGAAGCCAGATAAGAGACAAGGTAAGAAGCTGACAGCTCCGGAAAACCAGGTAGCAGAGGTTGGTGACAGGACTCCAAAAAGCCTGGGCTCAGCTGGCCCTTGTCAAACAGCCACAGCTGGTCTTGGGGCGCCAGCTCAACCCCACTCCGTGCTGCAGATGGCAGCCCAAACCACTACGGCTTCCAGCAGGCACCAGGGAGCCCCCCAGGAGCAGACTCCAGCACCCAGACCAACGTCGGAGACTTAGTCCCCTGACGTGCCCCACGCCCAGGGCTCCGCCAGGTCTGAGGCAAACGTGGCCATGCTTTGCTCTGAGGAAGCCACTTCCTCTCTGACTACCAAACTCTCCAGGGTCAGACTTGCTGCCTGCCTGGGCAGCTCTGCACACACACGGAAGATCTTACTGCTCGACTGGCAGGGCAGAAGGAGATGCGGGCGTGAAGCTGGGCTTGCCAAAGGCCCCTCCTTGTTGCTGCCTGTGGAACCGGGCCAATACCCACCTTCTGGCTCCAACAAGCCAATGTGAGGGGTGGGCTAGAGGGAAGGCAGAAATAGAAGGCTATGGAGAGCTGGAGTCTATTAAATATTTTATTTTGTAATCAAAATAGGCAATACAAACAGTTGACATAACGAAGATCCATATAAATAACTGCTTATAAACTTTACAAGAAAAATACCCATGAGCATGGTGGCTGGGCTCCCAACACAGGGTGGAGACCAATTACCCCGCTCTCTGCTTTTAGAGGCAGAAGCCCAGAGGCTGAGGGGACGGCCAGCGGGGTGGGGCTCCTCTCAATGGAAGGGATAAGTCACTCCATAAATAAAACACAAACTTGTAAAAACACTTAAGGAGCCTCATTCAGGCTCAGGAGTGCAGTCCAGTATGCGGCCAACAGCCCAAAGCGTAGCGGGAATCTTAACAGTGGCTGACCCTGGGTTCCTGGGTTGCCGATGCTCCCCATACCCACACTTGGTCCCTGCTGGCCTGGCTCCAGATCTACAGAAAGCCTGGGGCTGGCCCAACAACCAGATAAAAACAATTGCAAGATGCTCCCTAAACCAGGAGGCAAGGAAAAAACAAACAGAACACTGAGGGTACAAACAAACAAACAGAAGATAATGAAAGCTGTACCTTAACAAAGCTGACCTGTAGTGGGTACTCCTGAGCTCCCCGAGCAGCTAGAGCAGGAAAGGAAAGGACTCCCCTAACACGAGAGGCACAAATCAAAGGCCAGGCACAGTCTCCAACTTGGAGGAAGGCGTAAGCAGCTTGACAGGGCCCTGTGGCCTCTGGGGGAAGTCTTCCCAGACCGCAATGACACAGAAGTCTGTATTCAAGGCCCAAGAGGGGGGCTACCAGGAAGGCCTAAGAATACGGGAGGCGGCTATACTGGCCATGGCCAGGGTCGAGGGGCACAGGGCAGCTGGAGAATGGGTGCTCCTGTAATATGTGACTGCGAGCAGATGAAGGAGCCCTGGCTATGACCCCTAGGCCCACAATCCGAATTGGGTACTTTGCCAATAAAGAAATCACCCTGAGGAAGAAGCAGGAGCCTGAAAAACCCCAGGAAGCCAGCTCAGTTCCCAGGAAGGTTGCCACACGCGGCCTGAGAATTCTCAAATGGTCAACGTGACTGGTGCTCCGCATATCCAGGCCCCTCTAACGAGCTGCAGGCATTAGCAAGGCCAGGTAGGGAGTGGGAATGAATGTGGCTCCATCCCAGAAGAGGGAGAAAGAGGTGAGCTGCCTGTCTCAGATGTCAGCCTAGGGCTGGGAACCTGTCTGTGAGGATTTATCAGTTGTACTTGCAAAAGTTAATTAGTAACTCGCCCTCAGATGGTCAATCAGGATCAGAGAACAAACGTAACCCCAAGAGGCCAAGCCTCTGTGACAGCAAACAGGCAGATGCAGTTCCCTCATCAACCCCTGGCCCCCAGATGCAGGCTCTTCCTTCTCTCCCCTCCCCTGGGAACCACAGACAGGAGGCAACACAGGGTTAAGGCTGGAACCTTGCTGGATTGGGCTCCCTGCGGTCCCTGAAGTGTGCAGCCTGTCCCACACCCAGCATTCCTCACTGTGTTGCACAGTTTTCTCCCATGTCCTGGGCATATCTGTCTGACATGGTGGTCCTCAAGTCCTCGATGTCACGGCGTAGCTGTTGAACCTCTTCTAGCTTCCTCTTGATCACATCTGGCTTCTGCAAATCTAGCTGAGTCCCCGGATGCTGTGTAGCTGGGGAGGAGAGTGTTTCAGAGAACGTTGAAGTCAGCTGGAGACAATGTCACAGTTTCATGTGGAGGGGCAGTATGGATAGACAGTGCCTGGAGGCCCAAAACCTTGGGACACAGCATTTTTTGAAAAAGGCAGCTGGGGATAGTGGGCTGATAACTAACTGGCTGCCCAGGCCCACAATCTGTACTGCAGGCAAGGTACCCCATAAGGATGCCTGCTTTCAAAGCAGATTTACTGAACATCAATTTTGTGAAACAT